ATTTCCCGACTTTGTTACACAATGTTACTACACCCATCTATACTAATATTATAAAGAGGAAAGATTTGTTTGTTTGTTTGTTTCGAATAGGCTCCGAAACTACTGGACCGATTTGAAAAAATATTTTTCCATTAGAAGCCGACATTGTCCCTGATGAACATAGGCTACTTTTTTTATTTTATTTTTTTGGTTTCATGTGTGTTTTAATGTTTCCGAAGCGAAGCGAGGGCGGGTCGCTAGTATTTTATAATTTCATTGCTAAAAATGCTAAAATTAAAAATGCCTAGTTTTATTGCGTTGCACAATAATCTTACATAACGCTGTTGTTGTTTTTGTACTAAGCACTAAGACTAAGTTAAATGATACAAATTATAATCGTTAAAGCAACTTTTTTTCTGTTCGAAGATTAACGGACCTTTGCTAAGCCTAAGTAGGTATTTAGACGCCATCCGCGCTGCCTCCACTGCACAACACTTCATCGCCTCAAATCGGATACGGTAGTAACTATGCCCCCCCTCGTAGGCCGCTCAGGCCGACTCGCGGCGTTCGATGATGACGAAAAAGCAGAGCTGCTGGCCGATACATTGCAAACCCAGTGCGCGCCCAGCACTCAATCCGTGGACCCTGTTCATGTAGAATTAGTAGACAGTGAGGTAGAACGCAGAGCCTCCTTGCCACCCTCGGATTCGTTACCACCCGTCACTCCGATGGAAGTTAAAGACTTGATCAAAGACCTACGTCCTCGCAAGGCTCCCCTCCACGTTATTAAACTTCTACCCGTCCAACTCATCGTGATGTTGGCATCTATTTTCAATGCCGCTATGGCGAACTTTATCTTTCCCGCGGTGTGGAAAAAAGCGGACGTTATCGGCATACACAAACCCGGTAAACTCATGTCTGTAGGCAAATTGTATGAGTCTGCTGTACAAACGCCTCAGAGACTTCGTCTCGTCGTTCTCGTCATAATAACAAATATTGAAACGATGTTATCTGCTGTAGTCATAGACTGTGTTGCAGATAACAACGCCAACCCCTACACACAACGAACAATAACATATAAATTTAAATATTTCATAAACACATTATAATAATTAATTTTAGATACAAGTGTGTGTGTGTGTGTGCGTGTGCGTGTGTGTGTGTGTGTGTGTGTGTGTGTGTGTGTGTGTGTGTGTGTGTGTGTGTGTGTGTGTGTGTGTAGATGCGTGTTAATACCTAATATATAAATTGCTCATTACCAAAAATGTGTAAAAATGTGTAATCTACTCCAGTAATTCTTCTATATCTTCGTATATAAGGGAGAAAAGCCATCTATCAATGATAATTTTAACTTCATTAGAAATAAGTGGGTAAATATTTAGTAATTTATTTATCTTGTTGTACAGAATAGAGCTTAAATACCTATAGTGAGACCTGACTACATTATAATTTGCTACATAGATTTTGCACACTCTGCCCTGACGACGAGTTTGCGAACAGATATTAGGGTCAAAAACAAGTTCCAAATGCTTATGTGCTCCTAATAAAAGATTGTCTAACTCGAGGGACTTTGCAGATATCATACAATTCCTCCGTTGGAAACCTTATTGGTTTTTTAGATATTACTTTAAGCACGGCTCTCTGTGCTCTTTCCAATCTAAGTAATAATCATTTCTTACAGCCTCCCCAGACGACAATGCAATAGGTTATGACAGAGTGTGCCAAAGCATAATAAACCATTTTCAGTATGTGGAGATCGCTTGATGTTCTTACATGAAGAAATACATGAAGTCAGCGACGGAACGGTACTTCGATAAGGCTATGCGTCATGATAATCGCCTTATCGTTGCCGCCGCTGACTACTCCCCGAATCCTGATCACGCAGGAGCCAGTCACCGTCGACGCCCTAGACACGTCCTTACGGATCCATCAGATCCAATAACCTTTGCATTAGACGCCTTCAGCTCTAACACTAGGAGCAGGCTTAGAGACCCCGGTAACCGTACTCGTCGAACTCGACAAAGAGTTCGCCGTGCAACCTAATCCATGAATCAGCTCGCTGAGTTTCTCGCCGGATCTTTTCAGCGGGTCGCGATTCCGATCCGGTAGTAGATTCATTCGCGAAGTAGCTGCTCTTGAGTTGTTAGGTCTCCTTCGGAGGCGCTCGGGTAGCTGTTAGCCAATTCCACCCCTCCTGGCTGCGCCTTTGCTCGCCCACCTGTCCTGGTGAAACTGGAAAGGCCTCCGGGCCACCAGTAATCCTTCAATCCTAAAATAAATAAAAATAAGTAGGTATTTAATTCCAAAACTATTCTTTTTGACGTTTCGAATATTTTGCTGTCGTGCGTGACCATGAAAATTGTTTAAAACAATAAACCGGATTAAGCTAGTGGAAGGTGTCACTTCGTCCATAGCAATCCGGAATACGAAGGCACAGCCATGTCGCTGCCACTTAGCAATTCTTTAAAACATGTTTTGCTGAAGGACATTTTTTTTTTATTGCTTAGATGGGTGGACGAGCTCACAGCCCACCTGGTGTTAAGTATAAGGTTACTGGAGCCCATAGACATCTACAACGTAAATGCGCCACCCACCTTGATATATAAGTTCTCAGGTCTCAGTATAGTTACAACGGCTGCCCCACCCTTCAAGCCGAAACGCATTACTGCTTCACGGCAGAAATAGGCAGGATGGTGGACTCACAGAAGGTCCTACCACCAGTAAGACATGTTATAATACTCAGGAATTCCGTGCAGGATATTTGAGGCCACGGCCGAATGGTACGTAGTGGAAAATCTCTCCGCAAATGCAACGAATACCTAACGCAAGGGTTCCAGGTAAACTTTGTTCCGGCCACGTGAGGTGCGATTTCTAAAAGGAGAGGATGGGATCCTCTCAACCAATCCACAAATTACTCCTCATAGAACACACAACAATACAAAACAGATAAATAATACAAAGATTTGAAAAAGCCATGGCCTAAAGCAGGGGTCGCCAAATGGCGGACCGCGGTCCGCATTCGGACTTCCGACTCATTTTGTGCGGATCTCAAGAACGAAGTGAAGAGTTCTGAATGAAATTTGTGTGTAGTAATATAAAATGTTAAATAACCAGAACTACAAAACTTTCTTTTAAAACTTCTTTCTTTTATGGGTCAACATATATTAATATATTTGTGAAGCAGCATTTTCGAAGATGAACTTCATTATGAATAAATTTCGATCTCGACTGACAGATGAACATCCCCAGAGTGTAACGTCAATAGCTTGTATAGTAACCGGCAAACATCGTGAGCAAATGACCTTGACTGCGCAGAACCGAATTTTAGATCACTTTGGTGGTGAGGGTGAGGCGCGACGGCAGGGGAAATCGTATCGAGCGCGTTATTGGTAGATCAGTCGAACCTTGCGTCCCGCACCGCGCCTTCGTTCCGCTTGCTCCCAAAAGTACGCTTGCGTACAGTGAAAAGTCTATCGTTATTAATCGTTAAGTTATATTTTGTTATAATTGCTTGTTGACTTTGTTGCCATTGCTATTTGTTGAGTGTTTGTTGATTTTTTATAAAAAATACACTATGCCGCGACAAACTGGTGTAGTATTCAAAAGAAAGGGTAGAAAAATTGTGTACGACGTATATTGCTTCATTATAAAACAGGGGAAGAATGATATTATGGAAAAAGTAAAACAGACTTCGGAAGCAACAAAAACATCAGTGAGTACTGTTAGGTGCATTATTAACGAAGCTAAAGGCTCTGGCTTGCTCATCGTGCTTGGGACTCCGGGTAAGAAAAGATCAGGGAAGAAGAAAGTTACCGGAATGGATAGTTTCGTTCAATCTGTAATAAAAAGATGTAATCATAATAACTACATAACAAGCAGCGAAACTCCGTACCGTAGAAAGGCTTCGAAAATTTTAAAGAAGATATACATTTTAATGGCTCGGAATGAAGTTTACGACGAATTATGAAAGAGCTAGGCTTCAGATGGAAAAAAAAAACAGAAAATAATCGGAAGCTGGTAATTGAAAAAAGTAACATTCGATTACTACGAATCGAATATCTTCAAAAAATAATTAATTATAGACAAAAAAGAAGATCGAACCGACCGAGTCGTAAACTACACCGATGAGCCCTATGTCGACTTATCACGATGATGGCGACTCGGGTGATGAAAACAGTGATGATGATAATGGTCAAGATTATGATAACGAAAAAAAATTACAAATACCAGCTTCGCTTCAACTGAACGAAGACCTGGCAACAGCTCTAGTTTTGACTTAATAGAAGGAATATCTATTTTACCCCAAGATTAAATTATTATAATTATTAACCTATATTTTTTGTTGATGTTCTAATAAATATATAAATAAATACATATGTTGATTTTAATAATTTAATAGCATTATGACGCAGAGTAAATAATGTTTTTGCACGTGAGTGTACCATGCGCAAACTTACCCCCACTACGTCAACAAATGCTCAAGAAGTTTGCCGGCTATTATACTAATTATAATCCAAAGTTCAGTAAGATAGTCCGCAGTAAAAAATTTGATTTTTCTCATTGAAATGCAAAAAATACCTTTGATAATTCAGTAATTACATTTGTTTAACAAATACTTATTTCGATAAAACATTATGCGGACTGCAATGATCATTCCAATTCTTAAAACAGACCCCGAGGTAAACTAATTGGTGACTCCTGGCCTAAAGAATGAGACCGATGTACTCGTGTTGAACACCACGCGTAGGTAGCTGAAATGGGTGCCAGCGATTAGCTTAGCCCCACAATATAACAGTGCGCCCGTCTTGCTACTAACAACTTCAGCGTTATGCTAACTCAGATTCATTCAAGTTCTTTTTTTTTCCGTTACGTTTCACGTTTTCTACATCTGACATTGCTTCAGCCTTTGATGAGATTTACCTGTATGGGTCTCGTTTTCTTTGCTATACAATAGACGAATCAACAAACAAAAACTAGCTAACTTCAATATTATGTCAAAAGCGTCAAATAAACAGAAATGAACGAAATTAAAGCTGTTATCGAGATAAATAAAGTAAAACACAAATTACAATGAAGAGAAACACTCAATTATTTGATTTATACTGGGAAGATATATTAGTCTCCAAAGTGCTACCGCATCTAACTATACGAGAGTGTTTAAGTTTTCGATGTGTTTCGAAAACATGTTTGCAAATTATAAACATGTATTTTGCGAAGTTAAAATCGTTAAAATTAATGAATAAAGGCTTTTCACCGCACACATTTAGGGTCAGTATTGCTGTCGAACCGTATATGCAGGGAACTTGGTAGAGAGACTTTTAAAATTATTATTGCAGGTGTTTGCAACGACATGCAGAAGACTAACCGTGCTGAATCTGAGCCGATGCGACACTATTACTGATGCAGACCTCATCCCCATGCTACTGCAAAATTCCAACATTACGAATCTAAACCTCAGTCAGTGCAACAGCCTCTCTGCCAAGTCTTTACAACCTGTGATATTGTACTGTAACAAACTTCAAATTCTGAAGCTATCGAAATGCTCGTGGCTCACGACCGGTGCTGTGGAGGCTCTCGCGTTACATCAGTCGAAACTTGAGGATGTTGACCTCTCATACTGCAGCTCTATAACGGAGAGCTGTATACTGATATTCATAAAAAAGTTCAGACATTTAAAAACATTCAGCTTAGAAGGAAATAAACAAGTAACAGATAAGATTTTGTACGCTTTATCCAAGTACAGTACTGAATTGAAACTTCTTAATCTAGGTGGCTGTGGTGATATTACCGATAAAGGTGTCAAGTAAGTAAATAATCGTTTATTAATAACTAGTGACCTGCCCTAGCTTCGCTTCGGAAACTGTGATTTATTATTGATTTCTCCACTATTTAATGAATGTTATTATACATATAAACCTTCCTCTTCAATCACTCTTATCTATTAAAGAAAACCGCATCAAAATCCGTTACGTAGTTTTAAAGATTTAAGCATACATAGGGACCTGATATAGGGACAGAGAAAGCGACTTTGTTTTATATTATGTAGTGATAAATCCATAATGGATCAAGATGCAAATAACATACTTAAGAATTATTCATGTGTTCCAGGGCTTTGGCTGTGCACAATAAGAATTTGGAAGGACTGATGGTGAGAAGTTGCACGAAGGTGACTGAAAACAGTCTAAAGATGCTAAGGGGCAGAGCTCACATTGATAGGAGATCAGTTGATCCCGGACCAATACCTATTTATTTGCCGATATAGTTTATATTTTAAACATTTTTATTACTGGTGATAGGACCTCTTGTTAGTCCGCACGGGTAGGTACCACCACCCTGCCTATTTCTGCTGTGAAGCAGTAATGCGTTTCGGTCTAAAGGGTACATCAGCCGTTGTAACTATACTGAGATCTTAGAACTTATATCTCAAGGTGGGTGGCGCATTTACGTTGTAGATTGTCTATGGGCTCCAGTAACCACTTAACACCAGGTGGGCTGTGAGCTCGTCCACCATCTAAGCAATAAAAATAAAAATATATTCATATTTTTTCTGCTTAGACAGTTGGATAAGCTCACGGCCCACCTGATGTTCAGTAGTTACTAAAACCCTAAGGACATCTAGAACCTAAATATCACCACCTACCTTGAAAGATAAGTTTTAAGGTCTCAGTTTTACAGTACAACGGCTGCCCCACCCGTCAAACCGTAACGCATTACCGATTCATCGTGTAGTGAGTAGGCAAGTACTCGCACACAACTTGGCGCAACTCCACAGGACTCCCACATCATCCTGCTGTTTGTACCAGCGAATGATAACGATTATTATTGTTAACTAGCTGACCCGGCAGACTTCGTAGTAACTCAATCGATAACTAAAAGACCTGAACTTTTGTATAAAATAAACTTAAAACAAACAAAAGGAATCTGTCCGATGGGGGGGACATCAAAGGAAAAACAAAATTATAATATATATATAATATTTTTATTTAATTCCGAGCATTTTCATATTTATTTGAAACCTTTTTAACCTCCTATGGACTTCCACAAATAATTCAAGACCAAAGTTAGCCAAATCGGTCCAGCCGTTCTCGAGTTTTAGCGAGAATAACGAACAGCAATTCATTTTTATATATAGACATTAGCTTTTTGTTTATAAGTGCGTGTTGTTGTGAATTTCAGTTATTACACTTTGTAAAATTTACTTGACCACTACAAGTAATAAAATTCGCCATTGTTTATCTAAGTATTATAAACAAAACAGTAAACTGGAAGTTTGGAACAAAAAGGACAGGGTGGTGGTACCTACCCATGTGGACTCGCAAGATGTCTGACCACCAGTAAACCAGAACTTGTTCCCAAAACATACAATTTCAACTTATACAAATGACATCCATGACATTATTGTATTTATAAGCATTGTTTGCATAAGCACTAGGGCTCAGGATAAATAAAAACTTTCACTGAAGTATAACAAAACTCAATCTCAATCAAAACTCAATTTAATTATGAGAACATTTAAAGTATACTTCACAATTCGCAATCCGCTTTGCTTCAGGTGATTCATTCACTTTGAGTAGATCTCAGTAACAGCACTGAGATCCTAATAACCTCGAGGGGTTATAATAGATTCGCCAAATGAGTACCTAAGTGAGCTCATGGGGCTCTAACCTGACGAATTTGCTAACACTAGCCCTAGTAAGGGCAGTGTTTCGCAGAATCTACATAGAGCATGATATAATATAAAATGTGTAGTGAACATTCATTCCTATAATTATCCTGGTCAATGGCATTGGAAAACCTGACCCCTTATAGATGAGCATGATGTCATTAACTACAAAAGATTAGTTAATTTATAACATGAAGTCAGTTTCCATTGTACTGCAACTGGATGAGATAGCTTCTCTCCAGAAATAAGCAGGTTAAATGCCCGCGCGTACATACAATACGTTTTACCGTCAGTATATGCCGGTTGGTAATCGCAGTAGGCTGGCAATACTGTAAGAACACTGCTGCTCATTGTGTGTTGAATCCCTTAGTCGCCTTTTACGACAACCATGGAAAGAGATGTCTTTGAGTGTTGTCTTAAATCTATATATTTTCTATTAAAACATTTTTCAGTTTTTGAATGAGGGTCATACGTATACTGCTAAAACCATAATTTGGATTGTCTGCAGTCTGCAAAGACGTAACTTTTTCTAAGGTGAAATATAAAATAGGAAAGTACCTATATACGTATAGTAGTTAGTACCTATTGAATAGTATTTGAGCCAAAGATGATAATCATTGTATATATGTACATTTATTACTGCCCATATTACTTATATTAAATAAATTATTATTGATTAACTTAAGACATCTTTATATTCAAACTAACCTTAATATTAGTGTTTTGCCAAGTAGTATTATAAAAATATAATTTTAAGAGTTGTAAACCTACATATTCGACAAACATGCTTGTTGAAAAAATTACTTAAATATTTATATCTAATTTTTAAGTAATATAAACGTTTATTTTTATTGCAATAGTGTTTTTTTAAATTCTCTACTCGATTTCCGGAGAGTACTGATGTTTTGGGGTTCGCGGTAATACTGAAATCGACAATATTAAAAATATATTTGTGAATGACAGATAAAACTTGAAATCCGGAGGCGGGAGGAAATTTTCCATTAACAAAAACTAGAGGTTCTGTGTCACCATTGACTTCTAGGCTGACGAGAGTAACGCCCACCTGATGGTGAGTGGTTACCGTCGCCCATGGACATTAGCAATGCCAGGGGCCAGACCATTGCCTACCAATAAGTAGGTATTCTCCATAAGCCTTTCACAATAAGGTAAAGATGGCATTTAATGTTTACAAATACAAAAAAATAAAACCAGAAGCGCCTCCTCGGACAATTCATCAACCTCGATGATAAGCTATTCTTTTTTTTTTATTGCTTAGATAGGTGGACGAGCTCACAGCCCACCTGGTGTTAAGTGGTTACTGGAGCCCATAGACATCTACGGCGTAAATGCGCCACCCACCTTGAGATATAAGTTCTAAGGTCTCAAGTATAGTCACAACGGTTCTATCCTTCAAGCCGAAACGCATTACTGCTTCACGGCAGAAATGGGCAGGGTGGTGGCACCTACCCGCGCGAACTCTCAAGAGGTCCTACAACCAGTAAATAAAACAATAAATATTTGTAAATAAAACAAGTAGATATTTTTTCACAAAATTATATTTTGTGTAATAACAGTTGGTAATATCTTAGGTTAATATGTACAGATCGTGTTTGTGTGCGCGCTACCGACGCGCCGAGTTGAGCGCGGCCAGCGGCGGCGGCGGGTTGATGTAAGGCGAGTAGTACACGTTGTGCTGCTGCGAGACGGCCTGCTGCGACACGGCGCCCGGCAGGTTGTTGAACTGCTGCTGGGCGGCGGCGGCGGCGCCCGGCGGCACGCGGTACCCGTTCAGCCCGTACTGGCTGATGAGGTGCGGCGACACGCGGGACCCGGCGCCCATCTGCATGTGCTGCATGGGGCTCAGGTTACCTAGCGAACAAATTCAATGTTACCCTCAATTGATCAACATTTCAACAGTAATTTACTGGTGGTAGGACCTCTTGTGAGTCCGCGCGGGTGCGTACCACCGCCCTGCATGTTTCTGGCGTGAAGCAGTAACGCTTTTCGGTATGAAGCGTGGAGCAGCCGTTGTAACTATAATGAGATCTTAGAACATATATCTCAAGGTGGGTGGCGCATTTACGTTGTAGATGTCTATGGGCTCCAGTAACCACTTAACACCAGGTGGCCTGTGAGCTCGTCCAACCATCTAAGCAATAAAAAATAAAAAAGTAAATCTTTGATGAGACAACATCAAGACATTGAGGCGGGTAGCCATTATACAACGCAAGATATTTGACAGATGCCTGAATCTGAAAATAAGCTTGCATATATACAAGTTCCGAACAACATTAGGACCGTCGGTCTACCGAGCAATATCACGCGCTCGGTGGAAGATCTTTCCTTTGTCGTTAAACATCCCACAACATCATCGTCATGATCATCGCCTTCCCCGAGTTTCTTCATAGCGACCAGTCCCACCCTGTCTGCATCTTGCGGATTCCCGCGACCATTACCAGGTCGTCGGTCTAACTCGTGGGAGGTCTACCAGATGTGCCTTCTCCGGTGCACGATCGGCACTCGAGAACTTTTTATTCTCAGCAACCATATGTTCTACGAGCAATGCTCCCTGCTCACTGCCACTTCAATGTGGCAATCCTTCGAGCTATGTCATTTACCTGGGTTCTTCTACGAATCTCCTCATTCCTGATTCAATTTCGGCAAGACCCATTGTGAGCGACCACGTCGCACTGCCGTATGCCATCACTGGAACAACCCACAATGGGGCCCAGCAGTACCCAGCATGGCTGCTATGGTCATAGACTTCCGTCTTGAAGCACTGCGGTATTTGGGAAATTTTGCGTAGCTTCCCGATCGCTGCCCCATCTTAGTTGGATCCAACGATTGAACTCTTTCTCGAAGTTAAACGTAGAGCTTAGAGCGCAAAGCGTCTGATCTATACTGAAGTGGGCACATCGGACATAATCGACATAATTTTCGTTTTGTCCAAGTATATACTAAGGCCCACTCAGGAGCCCTACTGAGGTCATTGAGCATTTTACTGAGGTCCTCCAAGATCTCTGTCATAATCACGTATCATCGGCAAACCGAAGATGAATCATGTAATCGCCGTTGATGCTGATGCCTAACCCTTTCTAGTCCAGAAGCAGGACGCCACGCTGCAGAAGAATGAGTTCCGTAGCCCGGTCCTGTAATCGGACTGACATAATGGCGTTTTCGTACAAACTCTTCGACACGTCGATGTATCAGTCATCAGCTTAAAAAAACCTATGCTGAGAGGCTATTTCAACTTCTCCTTGACGTGTAGGTGAGCTGACGCGGCCAAACCGGGAATGTTGCTAGCACTGGCCCTAGCAAGAGCAGTGCTTCGCGGAATCTACCACCGGATTGGAAACGCGACCCACTGAGAAGATCCGGCGAGAAACTCAGTGGGCTTCTTGGCACCGTTGGAGAGACTACACTACAGCCCAGGTCTCTATCGAATCGAAGGCTTTCTCGCAGTCCACAAATGTTAAACAAAGCGGCAGGTTACATTCCTCGATCTTTTGTACAGCCTGCAGCTGCGTATGATTGTGGTCTACGATACTATAACTGCCTTTCCGATAACGGCTTGTTTGGGTGGTAGGCAGTCATTAATCCTGCTTAGTATAAACGTTTGAAAAATGTGGAATGAGATAAAAGTAAACTGAAGTAAAACAAGATCTCTGTGACCATGATGAATGTCTACTCTGCAAAAACCCTGGTCAACTCTCGCGAGAGAGTTGACGATGGAGTTCCAGCGTTATGGTGGCGACGAGGACACGGCAGAGGCTTTGCTTCGTCTGGCAAGAAGAGTCCCGTGTCGACGTCGCTCAAATAAGACCCTATTTGTTACTGCCGACCATTGTTTGCTGTGATGCTCTGCATTAAGGTCTTCTGCAAGTCGACCGCTCCATAGTTTGGGCGTAAGAGCTCTTCTCTACCCGGACCTACGTGACCCTGGCGAGACTAGTCCATCGGCTGATCGGGTCCGTGTGTGGCCTTCTGTGGTGACGCGACCAGAACAGCGGTCGAAGCGATGCGAAGATGCGCCACTGTCTTATTCGAGGAGATGCGTTGCCGAGACGCCACCCGAGTAACTGAAGGCAACCTTGCTACAAGGGCCAGCCGCAACCGACTGGCCGACATGCGGCGGACCGTTCGGGCGTCTCAGCCCCGCCCTCTGGTGAATCGCAACCGAGGTTTCGTCTTCTGGCTGAAGGAAGTCCTCGATTCAAGTAAGAAAGCTTTTCTTTTTATTGCACTATACTTATAACAGTATTTATATTCCGATGTCTGTAGGCTCCGGTAACCACATAACAGTGGATAGACTGAAGCTTCTCTGCTACGTCTTCAGCAATACAACAATTGAATGCCCAGACCGTCATATTAAAACAATTCGTCTTTTCGTATTAAAAGTGTACAATTTCCAAAAATATTTGAAAAGAGTTAATATGCGGAATCATTTGGTATCACCAGTATTTTTCTCATAAATACTGTCAAAAGAGCGTAGTTTTTTTTTTTTTGTTTAGAGTACCTGTTTTGACTACTATTAACAAGATTAATACATAATTTTAACTTACTTAAAAGACAGATAATGTAACTGATAAAAAATAAAAAATAAATGTTGCAAAGATGAAAATATCACATGTTAAACCTTTAAATTACTCTCCTAAATTAGTAAGTTTAGAGATTATACAGTTTTAATGCGAGTAGACGAATTCTCGTTTATACAAAATGTTTCACACTTTGCATCTGTCATTGGCTGGACAAACTCAATAAACCACATGCACATGCAATGAATTAAACATTAAAGTAATAAGCGCGATGTACTGACTTGGCGCGGTACGAGCATTCCGCGGCGAGTCGAGCTGGTTGTGGTGCGGCGCGTAGTACTTAGCGTGGTACTGCGCGCCTACACCGCCCACTCCGCCCACGCCTGCCACTCCGCCCACGCCGCCCACGCCGCCCACCGAGCCCGGCGGCGTGCCCGCCTGCTGTGCGTACTGCGGAAAAGAACAACGGGTTTGCTAATTTATTTATTACGATACAATACTAATTTTACACTATATAATCAAAGATTTGGGTCTGATCGTGGTAATATTGCCTTCTTTTAGGCCAAATTAGGCAAATCTAAAGCCTACTTCAAACTAAAGTACTGGGCAAGAAATAATGCACATCGACCTTTAGAATGAAACATTCGGCTTTGTAGAGCATTGTCCCTTTCGCACACTACATATGCTACGTTTTGTCAGTCGTTCGACAAATGCGGTGCAGTACGCTCGCGTCCAGTTCAGAATATATATAGAGAGTTGTTAACACCCCCAAATTTCAATGATTTAGAATTGTACTATGTATGGCATATTTAGGAAAAACGTGAAGCCTTTACATGGTTATGTAACCTCTAGAAATGTGGGTACGAATTTAACTACAGTAAAAACATTATTGGCAGAAAAAGTAAACATGATTGGGACTGGAGAGTGGAAAAAGGTTTGCGATCGTGCAATTAAATGTGAGAATGAATTTCGAAGATTTCAACACGGTTTAGATAATTATACTGATAGACTACTAATAAATACGGCTGAAAACGACAATGATATTGACTTCATTGAGAGCACTGATAGCGAATCGAAAAGAATTGAGGATTTATAAATGTTTTGTCAGAATGTATCACTTTTCAAATTAAAAAAATCAATACGTAAATGTACATGTTTTTTTTACTATAAGCTAAGGACAACCAACACTTGTTTTATAAAAAATAAACAAAAAGAATAATCAAAATACGCAACTCACAATAATTGTTTTAACAGCTCTTAATAAATACAGGACTGTTAGTATTTCGTGCGAAATTGACAACGCTCTACAAAGTCGAAATTAGCCGAATGTCTCTTTCTAGAGATCGTGCATTATTTCTTGCCCAATACTATAGTTATGTTGACGTTGGCGTCTTTAATATCAGATGTCTACAAGTGTAATAGAAACTGTTCTAAATTACGAAATTATTACAATTAAGAGGCGTACCTGGTGGGGGTGCGGATGCGCGTGCGGATGGTGCTGGGGCGCGTCCGCCATCTGCTGCAGCTTGGCGAGCGAGCAGGAGGGCGGCCAACCCGCGGCGTGGTACTGCTGCTGCTGCTGGAAGGACAGGTAGCCGCCCTGGTAGGCGGCGGAGGCGGCGGGCTGCATGGCGGCGTGCGTGGCGGGCGGGGTGGCGCGGGCGCGGGGGGGCGCGGGTGGCGTGTGCGCGGCGCGGGCTCCTGCCTTGCTCGCCTCGCCTCCGCCGCGGCTGTTTACAATCAGTCATTTATGGTAAATAACACTTTTCAATTATAATTTTAGTGTTCAGAGTTGGTCAGATTTAACAATAATAAGATTCATACATGGTAGATTGAGAAACCAATGTCGTTTCATCTTTATCTTAATATAGTTTAATCTCTTCGTGTTTAATCGCGTGTTTAATCTCTTTGACATATCATGAACGGCTACCTTAAGCTCCACATTATTTTTCATGGTGTAGTATGAAATAAACAATTTGTCCAATTTGAATTTGAGTTTGAATGAATTTGAGAGAAATTCAAATTCATTTATTCATTTATTTAGTTAGATGTCAGTATAACACACTTGTTGAATGTCAAAATATAAATAACAATGTTAACTCTACCACCGGTTCCAAAAAAAGCCACAGTCCTGAGAAGAACCGGCAAAACAAACTCAGCGACTACAGACTATTATTCAAATAAATTCATACCAATCAATTATAATTATCAATTTTGAACCCTGAAAAATCACTCTTCATATTATTGTCTGTTTTGGGGTCCAAGGTATGTGTATGTGTTAGGTATGTGCAAACCGTACAGTCTGCTTATAAACAGCTTAGGCTATAGTATATGTGGATAGGAAAGTGTTACCTGGCATTTCTGTTGTTCATCTTGTGCTTGGCCGGCAGCGGTTGCGCGGGCTGCGACATTATCGCGGGGATGTGCAGCGACGAGTGCGGGTACTGCGGACTGGGCGGCACGTGCAGCATGGAGCAGGGCGACGCCAGGTCCGAGCTGATGCTGTTGGGAGACTCCAGGCCGAGCTGACTCACATCCAGCTCGCAGGTGGGGTACTGCACGGAGTGCACGGAGTTCCCGCTGGAGTCCGGCGTGTACACTCCGAGCGAGTGAAGTGCCTCCACGTCTTCTTTCCCGTCCTTTACATCTTCTTTTTTCGTGCGTTTCTTTTCGCCGTCAGTCTTGTCGCAAGAGGCGAACGCATGGGTGTACTCCCCGCAGTCTTGCTTCGTCTTCTTTTGATCCGACTGAGATTGGCACGCGGCCGCCTTGGGCTGCTTGTTCCGTGTGGGCGGCTTGCTCTCTTTGGGCTGAGGTGCGGCGTACAATCCGTAAGCGAGATTGTCATATTTGGCAGCCAACTTCTGCGGAGACTTCGGCGGCTGCTCCAGATGCGGCAGGTTGAACCCCTGCAACTTGTCGAGGTAGTTTTTATGATCCCAAGACGACTGCAGCCGCGCCGGGTCCCACGGCGGCCACTGGTACTGAGCGGGCGCGGCGTGGTAGTTGGGGATCTGGTAGTCCGGTTTGGGCGGTTCTGCGTCATACTTTATCTTGGATGCGGCCCGCGGCTCGGCCTGCTCGGCGCGGTCGTGCTTGATCGCGACGTTCTTCTCACATTTAGCTGCACTAGCTTTCTCCTTTTTAAAAAAATCAACTTTCTTGTGCGCGTCGGGCGCCGGGTCGGGCTTGCGCAGCGGCGTGTCGGCGCGCGCCGGCCGCTTGTCGCCCTTCTCGAGCTTGCAGTGCGCCGAGTTGACGCGCACGTCGCGCAGCTTGCTCTTCTCGCGCGGCTTGAGGTCGGGCTCCGCCCCCAGCCCGACGGCTGCGTTGGCGCTGTGGCACCGCGGCAGGAACTGCGCGGCGTCGCTGTTGACGACGGGCGAGGTGATGGGGTGCGGCACCTCCAGTTTGGTGCCTTTGGAGGCGCCGCGGTTGGCTTCGTTGGATTTCAGGACGCGGTCTGTCTGCACTCCTTGGGACTCTTTGCTGACGTTGGCGCGGTGGTTGAGGAACGTGTGCTGGGCGGCGTTGATCTGCTGGATGGTCATGGAGTTGGTGACGACGGGCGCGTGGTAGACGGGCGGAGTAGACTCCGAGCCGGTTCGCGTCACTGTTATTTCGTCCTTCCTGGCGTGCGACGCGTCGTCCCGGAACGGTAGCTCCGCGTCCTTCGCGCCTCCCGCCGGACTCGTCAACTTGTTCTTGATGCGCTCTACGTCGGCGTACGCGTCGACCTTAGGATGTTCTGGTCTCCGGTCGCAGGCGGGCTGGCCGTAAGCGTCTCGATTTTGTTCAGATGCTTGACTTGTGCTTTCATTCTTGTTCGAAGGTTCATTTGAATGTTTCACCTCCTCACAGTTCTGATGTTGTATGACGGTCTCTTTTCGTCTATCGCGGACTTCGACCAGCGCCGCCGAGGCCGGGGAGGCGGCGCAATCTGATTCGGCTTCCACCACGATGGTCTCGAGGGGAGTGACGGGACCGGGAGGCGGAGTTGCGGGGGCAGCCTTTGCATCCAGCACGATGTGCGCGTTCTCTGTTGTGACGAGGGGCAAGACGGCCGGGGGGCAGGCGGGGGGGCTGCCGGGCGCGGGGGGCGACAGGAGGCGAGGGGGCGGGGGCGCGGGCGGCGGGGCGTGCGGGGACGGTAACGGACAGCTTTGACTATTGTTGTCATCAGATTCTGAAATGATTATCGTTTCCTTATCTTCGGAGACTGGTAGAGGTGATTTGACTTCTCCGTTAAGCAAGCGTGGAGTGTCCGGCCCCGCAGTGCCGGCCGGACTGATTTCTGCCGCCGGAACGGGAGACGGCTGCTGAGGTACAGGAGGATCGGGAGGTGTCTCGTCCGCCAGAGATTTCGGAGAATCCATATGTATACTGTCCAACTCCATGTCGGAAGTGTGGTGGTCGGTGGCATCGCCCTCGAGGGCGCGGGGTGAGACGGGAGGCACGGGAGCAGCCTCGTCTCTCTCCTCGGCCTCCATTTCATCATCTGCTTCGGCGGAGGAGTCTTCAGAGGCGGCGCCGGAGTCTCGCTTGTCGTCATCGGGGCGTCGCGCCGGAGGTCCCGCCTCGCCGGCCGCTACGTTCGTGCCTTCTGGTTCGGTCGACTCGTCAGTCTTGTAATCGGTTCGCTGCTCCAGTTGAGGATCCACACGAGGCTTCTTCGCGGCCGGCGCCGGGTCCGGTTCTGGCTCGCTCCGGCCGCTTTTGACCCGTTTTCTAGGCCGACCTTTCCATCTGAATTTCCTTTTAGGTCGGATCTTACGTACCGTGGTCGGCGGTGGGTCCTGGCTGTCCGACGCGGAGACGACCTCCTTGGAGTTAGCGATGCCGTTTTCAAGCGGTGCGATGTCGGGCTGGGGCGGTTTGGATCCCATGACACTCCTGCTCCTGTGACTCCTTGGCGTTTCGCTGCCGACCGAATCTTCGACGGTCTCCGAAATTTTCCTCTCATTATCACGTTTTCTCTTTCGACAGACTTCGGCGGGAGTGGGTGCGGTCTGGTAAGTACATTCGCTGTACTTGAGAGGTCGGGTGCGGCGGCGGCCCGAGGACGTGACCTCGACAGCGGGCGCGGGTTCCGGGAGGGCGGAGGGCGGCGCGGCTTCCTCGTGCGCCGGCTCGTCCTCCGCGTCGGTGGGCGGCTCGGGGTCGGAGCGCGAGTCGGGCGCGGTGTCGTCGGGCGAGCGGAAGGGGTTGACGGCGGCCGGCACCAGCGGCGTCCAGCGCAGACACTCGGGGTCGATCTCGAGGCGCGGCCTGGCTCGCAGGCGCGCGGCGTGCGCGTCCACGCGGGCCCAGTCCACGCACAGACCCAGCCGGGCCTCGTCCCCCGGCAGGTAGCGCAGGAAGCCGAGCAGCTGGAAGGTGCCGCCGATGTCGTTCATGTGCATGCCGGTTGCGTGCGCGATGTGCTCGAACGTGAACGGTTCGTTCCGATGGTCGTGCAAGTATTCGAGGATGACGGACTTCCAATAGGCGTGATACGACACGCGCCCGAGATCCGACAGAGGCTTCTCTGGTGTGCCCGGCTGGCCTTCTTCTTTCGACAGTAAATAACCTGGCGAAAAAAAATTGATTAATTTTCTTTGAAACATGTATAATGAACAACATCGCTCATCATTCGACACACTAAAATAATTTAGGGGACTTCACCACTCACTGAAATGTATCAGGAACCTTCCGTAGCCCTGTCGCTGGTACTGCGGCATGGTCATGATACACGAAACGTTGTACTTCTGTTGACAGTGTTTCTCTTTGGAGAAGTAGCCGACTAAATGACAGCCTTTCGCATCATTTTTAGTCAGCACATAGAACAAAAAAGGCTCCACGTCGTAGTAGAGAGTCTTGTGGTCGAGAAAGAGCTTGGCAAGCAGGCACAGGTTTTGGCAATAGAGCTTGTTCGCGTTGCCGTCCACCTCGAACACGGAGAGGTCGTCCCGCCGATAGATCTCGGTGGCGGGGGGGTGGCGCCACGGACACTTGTCCACGTGCCGCGCCAGGACGCCGCGACTCTTCGCGTATTTCAAACAGAACTCGCACAGGAATAATTTCGGTAACCTGAAAAAATAAACTTATATTAAGATTTAAATTGAACACTAAAGGATCGACGCGCGACGGACCAGCACGTACGTTACGTACCTGGCGTACTCTTGCGGGAACGGGCTCGAGTACCAGGTCTCGATCTCCCACTGTCCGAACTCGATGGCGGAGGGGCAGCGGACGGTGGGGGCGGGCGGGGCGAGGGAGGGTGTGAGGGGCGCGGGCGCGGGGGGCGGCGGGGTCGCGTCCTCCGGCAGTCCGGCGGCCGCCCGCGCCGCTCGGAACACCTCCGCGTCCGCCTCCGTCACTCCGGCCGGCAGCCGACTGCATTCTGAATGCATAAACACTACCTGTAGTTCATCAATCTGCAAGCGCGTAGTTGATCAGATCACTAACTACACGATAGAACTACTTAAACTCACGGCACATAAAGCATTTTAACTAATATTTGTGGTTTTACTTTGTCTTCCAAAGAGTAATAGAAGCAATTTACGCTAATTACAGCAAACATGACGAGGCTTAAAACAAAAAAAAAATAAACTTAATAGACATACTGTAAGAGTGGATATAAACAGTTCAGAATAATAACATCATTAATATTTGGTTTCCATACGATCTTGAACAACCTAGCTATTTTGGACTTTTGTGTCACTCGAAGGACACAAATAGAATTTTCAAAATTAACGTAAATAAAAATTTTTGTGTTGTAAGAGTACTAGTGTGCCACAAATTATTCTCTAAAGACAAATTTGCATTATTTCATGTCATTAGTAAATGCCATGAGTTTTGTTAATATTTTTATTTAATATAGCATTATATTTATAATATTCTGACAATTTATCGGATCCAAATTACTTAGATCATCAACGCTGAAAATAAAGTATATAGAAATAAAAATAAAAATGCCATGCAATTTCTTCACACATCACGAGACACAATACGGGGAACATCATAATACCGACGAGTCGACACCGTTCCCTCGATACAGTGCGTTCAAACAACGCCGAGAGTGAAGCGAGGAGAGCAGAACGTTCGTATCGAGCGAGCGAGGTCGAGCCGGGTATGGAGGGTGAGGCAGTGCCGGGGCGGCGGGTCGCGGCGGGGCGGCGCCGGCGCCCGGGCACTGCCGCGGCTCCCGGGCTTACCGTCCGGACCGGCCCGCCGCCGCCGCCCCGCCGCCAGCGCGCGCTGCAACTTGCGCGACCCGCCCGTGCGCCCGCCGCACCGCGCCGCCCACGCCACCAGCTGCGACGCGCTGGCGCCCTGCCGCGCCCGCCCCGCGCGCAGCGCCGCCAGGTGCCGCCGGAACGTGCTGCGCGTCTCCTTCAGCACCTCCTCCTCCACCTTCTCTTCGCGCTCCTCGCACTCGTCCGCCGCGTCGGGCACCACGCTCCGCGCCCGCACGCGCGAAGCACTCCGCACAGAGTAGAACTCGGAGAGACCGTCGAAGAGCGTCGTGAGTAACCGGTCCGCGCACCGACTGCGCCGACGCGCCGGCCGCGGCGTCCGCTCGGGCTCTGCCTCCGCGAGCTTGCGCGCCTCTGCGGCGAAACCCCACGTGCCGTCCGGGCCGGTGGCAGAGGCGAGCTGTTCGAACACGGTGGAAACTTGCGCCGGCGTGACCGTAGTGACGGGCGGAACGCGCGGCTCCTCCTCGCGGCCGGACGACGGCGGCGCCGACTCGGGCTCGGACTCGGAGGTCGAGGTGGAGCGAGAGGTGGAGGACGAGGGGGTCGGGGTGTGTCGTTCGAGTCTCAGTTCGACGCTCTGCACGCGCGTCACGCTTACGCCGCCCCATCGTCCTCGATCCTCCCATCCCTCCCACGACCCGGAGGAGACGCGATCGCGTCGCCTTTTTGTCATGTTGAAAGCGGAAAATCGAAAAAATTTTTGTTTTTCTTTGGACATTCGATGCTCGGTCGGAGGCGGGACATTACCGTCGGAGCGTTCCTCGTCAGAGCGGGGCCGGCGCGGCGTCTTAGGTTTCCGAGGCCTCGCGGCTGCGGCGTCGGCAGCGGGGGTCCTGCGACAGCGAGATCCGATTAGCGGGCGTGGGACGCGAGGCTGGAGGGCGCGAGGCTGGAGGGCGCGGGGCCGGCTGGGCACTCGCCTGGGCAGCGTGCAGGTGGGGCAGCGCCAGGGCGGGGCGGCACAGCGCGGGTGTGCGTGGCGGCCGCAGCGGACAGCACAGCGCGCCGCCCACGCGCCCCCCGCCCCGCATACCAGGCACGTTGCACATTCCCCACATGACCATCGTGAGGTCTGAAATGAACAATATTTAGTATTAAATTGTCTTGTTTATTAAAACGATTACAATTCATTCACTACCTTATCACTATAATTTATATTATCTCTTTTAATATTTCATTAAGAAGTATCACAATTACCTTCACAGTGGTTTGAGTTACGTGATCTAAAAGATCTAGACATGAAGGATGTGCATAGGACTTGCACTGTGTACAGCATATGAGTGATTCAGCAATTCCAGATTGATTCTTAGTATCAGTTCCCAGACACTCGCTACAAACCGGTACTCCGCCTTGAACTTGTTTCTGAAATCAATCCAGTTTAAATTATTTTTTTATTTATATTGTCATATTAGGCATTGAACTCTTGTTCACCATTAAAAAATAAAACAAATCACAAAACTTTTTTTTTTCAATCAGAACAAAACATAGCCTAACTTTTTTAAGGGTAGATGTGCAGATCCAGAACTATCCATCATTAAAAACATAATTCCTATCCTGAGACTTGAAATTGTAGTTTCAGTCAATGCATAGCTTTCTTTGGTTCGAATGTTTCTATTATTATTTAAATAATAATTATTACGATAATATTATTATATTATAATAATGTTAGTATATTTGATGATCGATTTATTGACTGAAAATTGATATTTCCTTTTTTATTTCCTTTAAGCTGATATTTAATAGTCTATCTACAAAAACAAAATAAAATCTGTTGAAGAATGTAGAACTAATAACCATTCCAATATCACGCGTGAATGAAGAGCATTTTTCTCTATATTGTATGTCAGCTATATTGTCCATTGATATAAGTAAGCATCATTATAGGAGATAAAATCAACTATTTTTTCAATAGCATGAGATCAGTTGAAGTTATTTTACGCACTTCTTTTACTTTATTTTAATACACAGATGGGTTAATAAACACAAACCCAACTAACCTACACGTTCAACTAATATACTAACACAAGTTTTACATTATTAATTGCTGATGGATTATGAGATATCTCATTTTTCATCTTGCATCATGATGAAATATCTTATTAGTGTATACCAAAAGTTAAAAGCACAATATAGCCTTTATTATAATAGGCCCAATAGAAATGGCCTCTGTAACCCTATCATTTGGTTAAACAACTACTAGGCACAGTTAACAATAAAATCTCTGATCCACAATATGTTAATCTATATAAATTAATCTTAATTAAACAAATGAAACACTCTTTAAATTGAAATGCACTACTGTTTTACAGCATTAATAAGCCGTACTAACATAATCTTCAGCGTATTTAAACCTCAACTGTTTGAATGATGGAACAATACCCTGGAACAGTGGTAAAATACCATTGATCTGAAAATTGAAATTTTTGAAAACATTGATACAAAAATATAAAATTGTGAAAACTGATGTCAGAATAAACATTTCAAGGACTATCCATTTTCTAATGATCAATAAATTATTAATTATGTACCGCTTTACTATCTATTAACTATCCATAAATCATGCTTGATACAATATTGCTAGGCAACAAACTGACCAACAATTTATAATTACAATATGACATTATATAATAATATAGTATACCTGGTCTTGCCATAAATATGGTAATAAGTAAATAAGCAAAACATACACATATTACATTGTGTGTTAGTTCTACGTTTTTCATTGTGCCATAAGAGGGAGAGCAGTAGATGGCCCACCTGGTGGTAAGTGGTAAAGGGTTGCATTGCTCTTGGACACTAGCAAAGCTGCTACCTACCACTGCCCCTTTTGACCCCCGTTTGAAGTGAGACATCAGAGCACTCAAATAAACCCCAGATGCTTAAGATACAAAAAAGATCTTTGGAAAAGCACTTAATATACACAGTGGTTCTAGGTAATATGGACTGCTCTGGTGAAGCAAAGTTAAAATGCAATGACAGAGTCATCTTAAAAAATTCCTCAAAGCATTTCCCATAGAAAAGACAGCATAAAAAACAGAAAACGTGAACCAAAGTTCCTCTGAGGTCCCATAGGTTTCAAATGATGTGTGAGAATGAGATTATCGAGTTCTTTTGAATTGAGTCACTTTTTTTATTATTTAGACGGATGGACGAGCCCACAGTATCTTTCTTCTTTATCGTTCCCTCACTGGTAAGGATCATGATGAGGTTGAGAACACCAACAACCACTTTATTAGATCGGACCACCTGACTGGTGTTCTGTCCATGGCACCCATTCCTTTTATGCGATGTAAAAATGATTGTAATTGCTCACAGTGTACCTCATGTTAAGTGATTATAAGTATATAATATGATTATAATTAATGATTTTACCTGTGTTACCATGTACCCTTTCTACACAACTACAAAAAAATGCTTCAAGGTTCATTTATATTTGAGTTTCTTTGTATATAACCAGCATAATATTTAAATGCCTAAAACGATTGGGATGAATGGGGTATCTTGACACCATCTCTAGTGACACTAACCATATTCTGTTTTATATTTCAACAGGTAGTACTTCTGTATATAAAACTTTCACTTTCAGTTTCCTCAGATTATTCCAAAATAAAAGCTTGCTATCACTGGCTAGATTGCTTTTTTAGTACAAATACTACAAGGCCAGCCAGATCTCTGTTGTTACAAAAATAGAAGATGTTTCATTTGCTTCTTAGAAAAACATTCAAGTGATACCAATGAAATAAAGTTTTAAAATTATAGTAACTCCATTCTCTTTAATGTCCAGTCTATTTATAACTGTGTTTAATCGAGGGGTGAAATGCTATTCGACTTAATCAAGTTTTTAAAAAAATATATTGATGCTAATACCAAATGAAACGGATCATTAATTATAAAGATAAATGAAGCAAAATGTCGCTTAAACCAAATAGCCCTTCACCCTTCGATATATATTTTTTAATCTAAGTATAAGGTATTATAAAAAACTAGCTGAAGAAATTTGAGAAGGGCAGAAAATAGGACAGAAATGATGTAGCATTTTGTTCTCCATGTTATTGAGTGTAATTGTTAATTTTCCCTCACTGGAAGAATTTTTTTTTTTTTATGGCTCGAGTCTCTTCTTTGACGAATGACTCTGCCAATGTCAGGTAGATAGAATATCAGTGATATAGATAGATGATAGCAGATGAGATGAATGAGAACTGGAGAAAAATTTGTAAATATTTTTACAGTATAATGTTATTGCAGGAAATAAAATAAGCTAAAGCATTTACAACTTTAAGATTAGGGAATGTTAAGAGATAGTTCATATTAACTGGGAACGGGATGTTAGTGTTAGTTAGTAAACAATATAGTGGTGGGTGAAGACATATTTATACTGCCATTCTTTAAAGTGCATCTGCTTATGACAGAACTTTATACCAGGTTAGATGTAAAAATTTATCAGTTCTTATTCTGTAATTTCTTACTCTAATGCACTTTATGTAATACAAATAAAACTTGACCCATGTTTAAAATACTCTTCATTTTTACTAAACTAATATTTGGCTATGTAATGTACATTAGGTGCCTAACATTGATACCAAATATATACTACTTTTCAACAAAATAATATTTTAATTTACTGTTAAAACTGTTTGTTGGCCTCCATATACTGTGAGAATATGTAACCTACATGCTTCAAATTCGTTTACGTAAATGTAGGTCAGAATAGCCTTAAAATAATTTGTTATAGGATTAGAATTGGTGACAGGAAAAGATTTTTGGGGCACCATTTCGGATGCCTTACTGCCGCCCGTCTTAGAGAACCATTATTTCCATGTTATATATGTCAAACTGGTTAATAGGGAGTTATTAAAAAGTAAATAAACAAACCTCTTCAGATGAATCTTGAGAATGTTTTTTCTGTTTGGATGATCTATCAGAAGATGTGTTGTTAGAGCTGTCAGCTACCACATACGCACCCGCGTGATGCGACAGTAGCCCGCGGGCTACAGCGCGTTTCACTGCCGCACGAAGTATCGCTTTCACGTCCACATCGGGTGACACTATTATTTGATACGCTTGATATAAATGTCTTTCTATCGATTTCAAAGTAGAACCGTCTCTTTCTCCTAATTCGCGCACTATCTTGGCTACGGGCCGAGAGATGTCCACGTTTGGCGCCAAGCGCAAAGTTCTGTTCTGCATGCCCCCAGGGTCTTTGTATGAGCTTTGGCCCTTGTTGTACACTTTGAGCACTACACCTTCTCGAACGGCGCGTTCTAGCCGCTCGGACACTATATCTTCGTGATAGTTGTGATGCTGTCTGATGGCATGACAGATTCTCTCCACGCTCGGCCTCTGTTTCTGCGAACGAATCTTGTGAATCGCTTCCAAGATCCATCGCTTCCACACTTCTTTCCCAACTTCGTCTGGATCACACATTTTCTTCGATTATTTAGCTATGGACAGTCTTCTGTGTAACGGTTCGGTATTGAACTTATGTCAACACCCATTGCATTTTCGCGCCTCGAGCGAAATTCCATTTTATATAATGGAACCCCGCGTAGTGCGACAGGAGGTATCGCTCGAGGTGCGAGACGCCGGTTTACAGCATGTTTCGGAAGCCCGTCGTCGATGACACATCGCTTCGTAGCGGGTTTTGGCAGAGCGAGCATCCAATGGCCGCCATCTTGTGACAATCCAAATTGTGTGCAGAAAAAAACATGCGATCGACTGTCTTATGACAATTTCCAACAATTAAAATAATGTGTTTATGACAACAACTACGAAAATGAAAACTTTTCACGGTGATAACAATAACTTAATAACAACTTTTACAGGACTATTATTTATTGTACGGCAACTTCTTCCGGTTTTCTTATCACAATTGCACTTAATAACAACAAGTCTGTCTGTACATTTGATTATTTATTTATTTTATTTTCTAATAATAATTTATTACATTGTATTATGTTTTCAAAAATATAGATTTTTTTTAATTAACATGAAAACATTCACAAAACACCAACAAAAGGTTCTTCAAAATGGCTATCAATTATATTGCCTTGTTAAAAAATGTTTGATATCCTGTCTGTCATCGGGGTATTGCCAATAAAATTAAAATAAATACACGGATACTGGAGAATCGGTTCGGCCGCGGCTGTGGCCCTGTCTTTACTAATTTCCAGGAGAAATGAACAATTTTGGGGATGGGGAGTAAAATTGTCTGTCTTTAATAACAATAAATCAAAATTTCACAAAGTTTTTTTGTAGATGGGATGATCGCTCATTATCCAAAGACCTTGTAGCTTAGCTGATATGGATGGGTAAAGTCAAGGAGTCAGTCATGTATGGAAGGTTTAGCAACTGTTATAACTGCTATATTCATATCAGTTCCATTTCCTGCACTATCGTTATTTCGAGGAGTCTTACCACAATAGCTTGTTGTTTACTGTACAGCAGACACTTTTTCAACTTGTCCCTTGTACAAGATGCTCCTCCGTTAAGGATAAAGACATGTTTTTTTTTAAAATGACCTAAATTATTATTCTTCTGTTTTCAATAATTAAAGAAATTATAAAAAACAGATCTATCCGTTGTTTTTTTTTTTAAATTATGTATTGACATTTATGTTATTATTAGCTATCATATAATTTTGAGATGTTACCCTCGAATTAATTAAATCGTGGATAATGCATATTTATAATTTGTACTTAGTTATAATAATCTGAAAAATTTAATTGAGCGGAATACAATGAAGTTTATTGAAATCTGAAATTGCTATCAATTCGAATGAAATTGAACGAAACTGTATGATATCAGATGAAAAAGAAAGAAGATGAAAATTGCTCAATAAAATCGCGAGAATTTATTAAAATTTCAGACTTATTTGAAAAACCCGATCGAATGAAATTGAACGAAACTGTATGATATCAGATGAAAAAGAAAGAAGATGAAAATTGCTCAATAAAATCGCGGGAATTTATTAAAATTTCAGACTTATTTGAAAAACCCGAGGCACCATGACTGTTTAATTTTTGTTACACTTGTGTACATTTCCACGCATGATAAATGAGTCGTCTATTATCAAAGGTGGCAATCTGTGTATTTGGACAAAAAAATGTTATTGATATGTCAATACAGATTGATTTGAATATAATCGTCTCCTTCAAAGAATACGGTTCAAAACCTGCATTAAATAAAGGTTAATACTTAACCTGTTATTTATCTAAGATGTCGTTCAGAAGAGTTTTGTGACTGCCAATGGAATACAAAGTCNTGAATATAATCGTCTCCTTCAAAGAATACGGTTCAAAACCTGCATTAAATAAAGGTTAATACTTAACCTGTTATTTATCTAAGATGTCGTTCAGAAGAGTTTTGTGACTGCCAATGGAATACAAAGTCAATAATTCGTTTTTCTGATTTACCAATAATTGTCCAAAAGTCACATTGCCGGCTTTAATAATAGTCGACTCAAATGCTTAATAGGACATAATTATTACCTTTTAGTTACCTTGATATCAGATTTCGGGGACAAAATTTTATCGCCGTTGTGCAACTATCTAATAGAGTTCTATATATTTACTAGTATTGAGGCAGCACGTACGGACTGTGAATCCTTTACCATTTCCTAAGTATAATGAATTTAATTTTTTTAAAAAGGGCAATTCAGAGAGAGGCGGGAACCTTCAAAAAATTTGGGACGGAACTTGAGAAGAGGGCCAATAAAAAAATTCATATCCTTTTTAATTAATTTAATTTGATATTCTGTAGATATTGTAGCATATTTTAGTTTATAACTGTATATATGTTTAGTTTATAATTGTATATTTTAGTACTTTAGCGTAGATAGTATGGAGTTGGAGGCGGGAACGGATCCCCCGGNAAAAAAAAAAAAAAAAAAGGGCAATTCAACAAAACTTGACTTTTTGGCGGGAACGCGAGAAGTGAAGTTGTGTGGCTTGTTTTAGTTTGTCTATTTATTATTTCTTCAGGTTTAAATTTCTAACAAAGGTGGTTTATTAACTATTTAGTATCTGTGAAAGTGCACTAATGTGGGAAAATGAAACAAAACCGCTGAAGGTAACATCGCGGGATCCTCCAGAAAGTCCACTGAAAAAGTCTCAGTAATGACCACAATTTTACTGAGATTATATTTCATCGCATATCATTTCATTTCATGCCCCGTTTCATATTAATCAACTTCATTTCATTTCATAATACCATTTTTCATAAAAAAAATATGTATGTGAGAGTAGGCTGTATGGTATGATACCTAATGATACCTATATGATAAAACTACTACTAATAGGTACCTACTATGTACCACGGTCTATGCTAGGTACACAGTAAAACTTTCAGGTAGGTAGGTAGGTAGATACCGTACTTATTAACTCCATGGTAGGTACCAATACAACCCACTTCGATAAAGCGGCACGACACGAGAACCCTCTCATCGTGGCCCCCGGTAACTACATTCCCGATCCTGCGGACAGAATGGAAAGCAGTCGGCGTCGCCCAAAACACGTCATCTCGGATCCTCCCGATCCACTAACGGTGCTTTTAGGTACTTCAAGCACCGGTCACCGTTCTCGTCGAACCCGTCGCTTGCGACGAAGGGCTCGATGAGTAAATTAACTCTCAGACACAGCCCACTGAGTTTCTCGCCGGATCTTCTCAGTGGGTCGCGTTTCCGATCCGGTGGTAGATTCTGCGAAGCACGGCTCTTGCTAGGGTTCGTGTTAGCAACGTCATCAGGTTTGAGCCCCGTGAGCTCACCTACAAACGTTAGGGTTACACTGAAATAGCCTCTCAAAGGTGAATGAAGTTAGCCCCTCAAAAAAATTTTTTTTTCCTATTTTATACTTATTTTCTATTAATTCGTTTGTTCATCATTTGTTCATGATTGTTCACTGTTAATAATTGTTTGTTCTGCAGTTATTTATTTAAAAAAAATATTTAAAAATATACCTACAAGTTAGCCCCTCTAATGCAATTTTTAATATTTTTTCATCCTTAATGACTCGTAAATATTCATTTTCGATTGTTCTTATATAAAACACGTTTGTTCTCTTTCGAAATTACTCGTTTTTTGTTTAATTTACTATTTTTATTAGTTGAATAAATGTATGCAAAATATGTGTACTGCGCATGCGTCAACTATAATGCATAAACTTTCTACGCGGTTTTAATCGTAAAAAAAAAAACAAACATAAATCCTGAAGGAGCAATTAATTGGTATACAGTTTAATTAAAAAAATTAAAAAATAAATAAATGAAATAATGTGCATTGGCGTTAAGTTAGACCAAATACATTTTTTCCATCCTCTTACCTATCGTATTAAAATGTTATTTTACTAATGTTAGGAATATAATTTCGACTGTGTAAAAAAGTTATTATAATGTATACCTATATTATCTCTTGAAAGATAAATAATGAACATATTTACTTATTTGTTTATATTACCTATGTGAACTCCCTATCTTTTTTATACCTTCATAACGATAAGTAGGAGGATGGAAAAAATGTATTTGGTCTAACTTAACGCCAATGCACATTATTTCATTTATTTATTTTTTAATTTTTTTAATTAAACTGTATACCAATTAATTGCTCCTTCAGGATTTATGTTTGTTTTTTTTTACGATTAAAACCGCGTAGAAAGTTTATGCATTATAGTTGACGCATGCGCAGTACACATATTTTGCATACATTTATTCAACTAATAAAAATAGTAAATTAAACAAAAAACGAGTAATTTCGAAAGAGAACAAACGTGTTTTATATAAGAACAATCGAAAATGAATATTTACGAGTCATTAAGGATGAAAAAATATTAGAAATTGCATTAGAGGGGCTAACTTGTAGGTATATTTTTAAATATTTTTTTTAAATAAATAACTGCAGAACAAACAATTATTAACAGTGAACAATCATGAACAAATGATGAACAAACGAACTAATAGAAAATAAGTATAAAATAGGAAAAAAAATTTTTTTTGAGGGGCTAACTTCATTCACCTGCCTCTCAAGGCTCTCAGCTTAGGTAGGAAAAAAAAAAACCAATGCAACCAATAGGTAGCAATTTTTTTTTTTTTAGGAGATTTTATGGCCTGGTAACTGAGACCTTTAAGTCATGTCTTATTTTAATGGATATTCTTAATTTTATGAAAAATGATATTATGGAGTGAAATGAAATGAAAATGATTAATTTGAGACATGAATCAACTGGGATGAAATTAAATGAGATGATATGAGATGAAAACTTATCTCAGTAAAATGGTGGTCATTTACTAAGATTTTTTCAGTTGACTTTTTGGAGGATCACGAGAAGTTACGTCCAGCGGCTTTGTTTCATTTTCCCACATTTGTGCACTTTCACAGATATTAAACGGTGAATAAACCACCATTATTACACATTTAAACCCAATGAAACACTAAATAGACAAAATAAAACAAATCACACAACTTCACTCATCGCGTTCCCGCCAAAAAGTCCAATAGGCAGCAATACCTGCTATTAGCCATAGATAATTCACTTAAGATCTACCTACCCTGTTCTAATAAAATAATTTGTATTTATAAATTGAGACTTTGAGTTTCGTTTAATGTTTTAGCAGCCTGGATAATAAAGTTATTAACAATATTCGCATATTTTGGTAGCGTATTCTAAATATTTGCAACGAAATTTATTGTGTAATGCTTCTACAACCGTCAAGAGCTGAGGAAAATATTTAAAATGCGGTAAAAGCCCTAATAATTTTATATATCTTTTTTTTGCCACCATCGATAATTGACATACGTTATAGTAATAGTTCTGTTCTCTAGCGTGTTAGCTAGTTTAAAATATAATAAATTTAAACACGGAATTTAGAAGCTAAGGCAAGCTTGTTAAATACCTACATATGTACTACCAGTGCGAGCATCCGGAAGATGACGATGAGCACACGCTCGAAGCGTGCCCGCGTAGGAAGAATTCGCGGCGAGATCTCATAGCGGTGCTGGAAAGGGACCTCCCCTTGCTGACTGTTGTCGTCCGCATATTAGAGGACCAGAGCTCGTAGGAGGCCATGACCAGGTTTTGTGACCTGGTCATCGCGTTTTGTGAGGCTGAGGAGCGCGAAAGGGTGTAGGATTCCTCTTCTGCTCTTCAGTGCAAAGGCGGGCTGGGCGGAGCGAGCGAGAAGCGCCCACTCACCCCCCGTAGGGGTTGTGAGACGACGTCCTTCGGGATATTCTCGGAGATGGAATCCCGCAGTATAATCAAGACGGGTACCGGCGAAGGGGGACTTTCGGCGCGCACTGCGGTACCGTAGGTTTGATGTAAGCGGTGTGGAGGGATAGAATTTAGTCGGTAGTCGGTTTTGCGGGGCGAGTGCCTCACGCGCCTTTTTCAAGGCGCCGAAGCTCGACATAACCAGGTCCGTTACCCCCTCGACTGGGTATCCGTTAATATTCCCCAGGGTTAAAAAAAGGATTATTCTAAGGCAAACTCTGAGGGAAAAAAAACTCGAAAACTTGTATATAGGTTAAAAAACCTATTTCAAAACAAAATTTATTGACACATTTTAAAAATAATAAGTACATACATTAAATTGTATACATTCACTATTATTATAATATTACAGGCTTCCAAAACCTAAAACAAACATATTGAAGACTGGCTGCTGTTTAGTGTGTAAAAATAAAATCTGCATTGACACAAAATCTGCACAGATTATGCGTAGATTTAATCTAGACAACGTGACATATGCTGGTTGTATAACAAGGAGTATTAGCAAGCTGATGGACAGTACCAAAAAGTTCACTGTTTATGAAACATATCGCTGCATGCCATTACTTGGAGATGAAAGAGCCACTGCACCTAATTGGGTGATACATATTGTACACTACACAATAGTGTTCATATGATATTTAAAACATATATCCTTGCAGTTTATGATATTTTAAAGAATAACATGAAAATATTACTCAATCATTGACAAAATTGTCACTATAATTATATATTAATTAGAAAAGGTGTTTATGTTGATGATCATAATGATAAAAGTTCTTTTTCTACTATTTTTTTCAAAACTGATTATCAAAACAAATGAATAAGAGAGTTACTTAAAATTCGAATAATTATATTTACCTTATTATTAATTTGTGCCAAAAAATGAAACTGATGTAGTTATATAGCTTTCAAAGACATTATAATCTTAAAAGTAAAATAATATATAATAACATGAAAATAGTAAATTATTTTGTTTTCTTTTGTTTCAGAATATAATAAGCATTTCAGATCTAATTTAATACTTCTTGGTTTCTATTAATGATAAATTGAAGTTAATATTTTTCAGTCATGGGCGGTTGAAAACTCAAACAAATACAAATCCACACTTTTGCATATATTTTGAGAAAATGGCTTTTATCCAAAACTGCCACCTTTTTAATTGGGATTAGTTTGAGTGTTTGGTAATAAGTCACTAGTTGTTTTTTTTTGTCTAAAATCACTAACTCTTGTAATTTATATTAAAAAAAATGGTTCATCACTACTTAGTGATCACTATACTGGACAAAATAAATAACTAATCTTTGTTAGATTACGGGAATTAAGAAACTAATTTAACTTTATGCTTTGTAGTTCAGTAAACAGTTCCAATATGTAGCACTGGTGTGATTATTCTGGATAAAAGAATGTCAAAGGAAACACCAGGAAAGTTGTAAAGTGCTAGTTGTAAATATTCTAGAATGCAAGGCTAGTGCCTTTGATTTTGAAGTTAATAAACAAAATAAAAGTCTGATTAACATTTGGGAACTGTTTAAATAAGACTCAAGAAATTATCAAGATGTGTGCGAAATAAGTGTAGACAAACAGGATATGCATTTGATTTTTAGTAGGTATTTAATTATGTCAAACACATAATATATATTATGGCCAGCCACCGAATCCGTTACTTGTATAATAGATAAAAAATATTGCATAGGTATTTGAAATTAATTATTTAACACAAAATTAGCATATCGTCTTCTCGCATTAAAACTGTATAATCACAAAAGTTACCATATTTTACAGGAGAGTGTTTTAAAGGTTTAACATATGATATTTTTAATATTAATCATCTTTGCAACATTTATTTTTTAGTTTTTACCAGTTGCATTATTTGTCTTTTAAAGTAAGATAAAATTATGTACTAATTTTGTTAACAGCAGTCAAAATATAAGTAAATTAAAAAAAACACTAAAACTAAACTACGCTCTTTTGACAGTATTTATGAGAAAAATACTGGTACCAAATGATTCCGCATATGAACTCAATTTCGAATATTTTTGGAAATTGTAAACTTTTAATGCGAAAAGATGATATTTCGATTGCTTACCTAGATTTTTTTCGCCACTAGTAAAATACCCTATTTAACAACCCTAATTAATGTTCAACAACTAATTGTATAATATTCGAGTTTTTACATGTTTGGTGCAAAGATCAGTCATTGTATTCGCTGGGTCCGCTGAATGTGCAGCCCGGGTGCTGGATGACATGCGTGGCACAGTAGACAGCGCACCGCACGCAGGCGGCTGGCTCGCGGTTCAGCACGAGCTGCGCCAAGTACCCACCAGTAAAGGCATCTCCGGCACCGTTTGTGTCAATGATACGTTCCCTCGGCAAAGCCTCGACCGGTATCAGGGTAACTCGTCCGCTCTGTACCAGCACGACGGGTTGGCAGCCCTGCGTGATGACTACGACGCGCTCGCGGTTCGCGTTCAATTTGGGCATGCTGGCGATCCGTAAAGCGATCTCCTGCACATCGCTCGAATTTATGTTGAATGCCTTCGCGAAAGCGTCTGCCTCCTGGAATTTTTAGAGAAGGGATTATTCATTCCACTTCAGAAATTGTAGTCACTCTATAAATATGATCTCTCAAGGAAAACATCTTTTTTTAATGCATTCATTACGGTACAGTGTTGTTTAGTTTATTTTTTAACAGAATAGCCTTTTAAAAATATGAATCTCATTCCAAATGATCTCTGTTAACTTTAATACGATACTTTAAATATTTTGAACAGTCGTCAATTGAAATACGCACTTTCTCCGATATATTTACACGGAGACTTCAGAAATGGGAGAATCGACCTTAAATAATTAGTGAATGTAGCACCACCACCAATAGCCCACAGATATCATAACAAGAAGGTCCAAAGTATTTGCACAGTAGAAGGTATAAAACCTTTTTTGTATTGTGCAATAGTTATCCCACTCTTCAAATCGGAACATGGCTGTTCCGAGGCAGGAAATATACATCAAAAGTTTGGTAAATTGTGATTTAGTTTTACTTCGCTTGTTAAAGCAATAAAGAGTTGTTTACATATTATATTATAATTTTAATTGTTGGATCCTTTTTGTTTCAATCCAATTTACTTGTTGAATATTTATTCCTTTATGATGTGCAAATAAAATAAACTGTTTTTCGTTTTATTTTTATACTAGCTGTAACCGTAAGTGTAGCGGTAACAAAGATTCTCTTCATTAACGCCCCGCAACTGGTGTAGGGAGTCCAACACTCATATAAATATTAGCCTATCCATTAAGTACGTGTATTTTCTACATGGATACTAAGTTTCAAGTCAATCGGATCAGTTCAGTAGTTATAACGGAACATCCGTAAAAATCACTGTAGATTTATATATTAGTATAGAAGTATAGATTATAATAATTCTATATGTACATAGCAACATACTATAGTCTGTTTAAGGATTTTGTAATTTAAACAATACATAATGTTATAGGTGAAAAATCACATACTGTAAAATGAACATTTTATTTATTTACGTCTATAGACATATACGACTAAAATTTAAAAAACATACCGATTCATTCCCGAAGAGCACGTCGACATATGGGAGAAGTTTCTCGAGCGGTTCCTTATAGAACTGTGAGACAAAGGGCGCACTCAAGTTCATAACAAACGTATGTCCATTATCGTGCGCATGCTGGGCCAATAACAATATCGACTCTGGAGAAACTGCCACAAAGAAACCCTGGAATATGAAATATAATTTATAAAAATAGTACTTAACTTGTATGTTTGATGTTGGATTTGCAGATGTTTAAGAATCCAAAACATTATCATGTGATTAAACCAAACAAAAAGCAGAAAGGTCGAACTCATTATATTAAATTTTTAGCTTTCAACATCATCATCATCAGCCCACAGTCGTCTACTGCTGGACACAGGCCACTCCCAATCCACTCCATCAAGCCCCGTTTTCAGCTCTCCTCATCCACATCATAAACTTTAGCTTTTGCTGACATTGAATTATGAAAATTTTCCATAATTTTTTGATATTTAAATTTCTTTTTTACTTCTAGCTGCCCTGTTGCTAAGGTGTATATATAGCACATGGATAGGTATCAATATCCTGTGTATGTCTGAGTAAAGCAGTTATATATACCAATTTGAAGGGTACAACAACCGTTACATAATACAATGGACATATGATGATGGATTAAGGTGAGTTAAATGTAAGTGCTGTCATATTCACACTTAACATAAAGTGGGTCGTGAGCTCATTCATCACAATAGCAGAAAAACTAAAAAATCACAACAATAACCCACAGAAGCATAAAAGAACTTCGCTGCTTCAATGCTTTTCTTGCATTCTTCTTTCTGTAAATGATCTGGTGTGAAGTGTTGTGCAGCACCGAGATTGGCGCACAGTGAGCGGTGTGTACCAGTTACTAGCACTGCACATGTACCAGTTGCTACCTCATTTGATACTTGATATTGAACGTGGACTCCATCTGCACTGGAATAATAAAAGCAGTGGGTCATTTAAAGTTAGGAACATAATTTGTCCGTTTTTTTAAATATGTTAATACATACATACACCACAAAAACAACTACGCTTTTGTTTCTAAAAACAAAATGTGTTGTCTAATGTAAATGTTTATGAATATGTGCATAAAAAAAGAAGAAATCCTCATTTTCAAATACCATTTATGGTAAACACCCCAATCATTTTATAATAACCTTATTGTTATATAATTCATATCTTAAAAGAATTCTTTCAAAAACATTATTTAAGATACAGAGTCAATGGGTGCAAATGTTATCAGTATTATAGTATAGTTGAATTCTGTGTCACAATTATCTCGACAGCGTGTTTCTTGATATTGCATCATGCTTCACAATGTGTGGCAAATTTCATATCTCCTCTTTACACAGAGAATTATTGTTATCTTATGTCAATCACATTATTGATAATTTTGAAATATACGTACCTCAAGCAAAATACAATACAATAAATACTAGAAACTAAAAACTAAAATCTATAGAAACTAAAATCCAAAACTCTGCAGACCTTAGGTGGCATATTTTCAGTAAGCTTTCTCCTATTAATATGATGGTTATTTAAAAATTGGTTTTAATTTTAGGGGAGCCAACATTTAATTGAAAATTTCTTGGAAAAACATTTAACTGAAGAAATATCTCTTCAATTTTTTACATTAGGCTATAGTATAATAGATTTCTATAGCAAAAACAGTTATCAGATGCTATTTAAAAGATGGCTTCTAGGTCTGAATGATGTTGCAAGTCAACATTTTTGTAAATTATAAGTGTCTTAGTTATATACATAATTTTAAAGTATAAATTACAATTATTATAAATATGTTATAAGCTTATTATGAATACTATAATATGAATAGATTTAACACGTTGCCTGTCCGTGCATTATATATAATGCATTTTTGGTGCAGCTGTGACGTTCGTGCATTATAAGTAATGCACGGTATTCTAGCTGACACGTCTGTGCATTAAAACTAATGCATGCATGAAATTCAGTATTTTAGTTGTTTTTGAAAGTGTTTTTTGAAAAGCACTTACATGTACTTCATAAGTACATAAAATGAAATAGTTAAGCCGAAAAAAATTATGGGCGTCACGGGTACTTAACCAAAATACTCTGGACAGGCAACGTGTTAATACTAAATCTAATAAATAATATAATATAAAAATAATATGCACCACAATATGAGAATAACAGCTAAATTACTTACATTGCTCTCTCCTTTAATAATTTAGCATATTCATCATTTCCCACACAGCCAAAGTAAGTACAAATATTTGGTTTCTTTAGAATCCATTGTGCTACTCTTAATGAATTCTGAACGCTTCCACCAGCAATATACTCTGCATTATACCTAAATATAAAAGGCAAAGGTTATGAAATCTAAATCTCCATTTATAAAAATTCTTAGAAGTCATGGTATATACCAATTTACTATATCAGTAAGGTATATTAACTACCTCTTATAATAACTTTTAATTAATTTAGTTTTTGTATTTTTATTCACAATTACTTGTCAACGAGTTCCGAGTAGAGTGGCATGTGTTTTTCTTCAGCCATAATGGCATCGTCGGGGTGCAGGTCATACTTCTTCAGCAAGTCCTCGTCAACACTGGCGGATATGTCCAACAAAGGATTCCCTATGCCCACTAATAATCCTTCTTGGTCACATATGGAACTGTACAGAAATTAAATTTAATCAATGTTGAAATAAAATTATCAAGATCGAAAATGCAAAAGCGAAGAGCTACGGATCTAAAAAGTGTAATTTTATTTAAGCACATGTTTGAAAAATTGATTTCGTATTTATTCAACTAAAAATAAATTTATGGGGTACTTACTCAGAAACGTCCATTATGTAATACAAGTTATGTGGTCGTAAATCGTACCAAAACTAAAATGTTTTCACGAGTTTACCGCACTCGAATGTCAAGATAAAACCACGTAATATTGCTATCAACACGTGTTTTAATTCGTTAATGCAAAACTAGCAGTCTTGACAAAAGTAATAAACATTATAGATTATACACGCATAAACATAGGTTATATAATAGTGAGATTAATTACAAACGTCAAAACCAATTTGAGATTGCAATGTACCTACGGAAATTAAAACAGGGAGTCGGTTGATGCATTGGAATTTGTTCGTAGTAGAACTAAATGTTAAAAATTATTAACTTTCGCACTAAATTTTCTGCATAACGCTGAACACTGAGGACTCTAATAATCACACTCCTCTATAAGGGACTTTAATAACAAAATTATCGAAAAAATATATGGTTCCAGGGAAGCGTTAATAGTTATTGCGCAATTACTGCTGGGAAGACATTGTGGTGTTGTCCGGATGGGTACCACCAGCCTGTTTAATTCTGTAACAAATTTAATGCATTCTGGTTTGAAGACTGGTACACACAGGTCGATTTAGCTTGCAATCTTGTCTCAAGGTGGATCGAAGAATTCACGTAGATTTTAGAGCTCCTTCGGTAGTAGGTAAATAATAATAAAACTGTGCTGTAAAAATCATCCACCCATCTAAAAAATTAAAGCTTATTTCAAATAAGTCTTGCATTTATACAATTCTAAACAACAACATTTCATCTGACATTCGGAGATCTTCAGTTAAAAAGAAACTAAACTCTTTGCCTTTGTCGTTCTGAAAAAATATATGATACGAAAGATTTTATTTTATTTGTTCCAAAATCTAAATTCAAGTGTAAAAATTGGTTAAAGTTTCACAAATAATTTACTAGCCGGTATTTGTAAGTACCGCTGATTACAATGAAGTATGTAGTCTAAATGACAGTTATGTAACAAAAAAACATTTTCGAAATACATTAAAATTTTGAATCTTCACGCCAAATTAAGTATGATGGCTTTGCGCTTTTCTTTTATCGATGCTACCATATTCTCTGGTATTAAATGCCTCTAAAATAGTAGAATTTAAAATGGAACAGTCAGATTTTAATATTGAAAAGTAATGTAAGTAAGCGCAAAGTAAAAGTAAATGTTGAACGGTTAAATTCGAGGGGATTGGGTTCTGAAAGTGAGGGGCTATTTAAAAACACTCTGCTTCATGGTTAATATATATTTTAAGCACTTTGTACACTTATAAAACTTTAAGATGTTGCACTGTCCGTGTCTAGATCAGAAGTTCTAGTCATAATTGAAGAGAAGACAATCATTTGTTTTAAATATTTAAATAAACATTCCAATATTCGCAAAACTATTATTTCACATGTGACAAGTGTTGCCTGCCATTACACTTATATTCAAACTCCAACAGTAACAGCCTGGCCACGGGACATTCGCCGCTACGAATATTCGCGCGGTGCGAACGGCGAAGCGTCTAGCTACTAAAATAAGCGCATAGAAATGTACCTAACAAGCCACGCGCACCGGCGACCGGCGAAATGTACCGAGCGAATCGCGCGATGCGGCGGGCGAGCAAAACAAATGCATGAATACGGACGGCGCGAGCCACGGAGTCGAGCGGTAGTCGCGGCGAATAGTACAGTGATTAAATGAGTTTAGTTGTTTTCGCCGCGAAAAATTAACGCCGAAATTTTTATATTTTTTATTTATTTTTTATTTTATATTTTTAAAGTCGTCGTGGCCTAACGGACGTCCGGTGCAATCGTGTTGAGCGATGCACCGGTGTTCGAATATCAGGCGGGTACCAATTTTTGTAATGAAATACGTACTCAACAACACTCAACGTTCACGATTGATTTCCACGGTGAAGGAATAACATCGTGTGATAAAAATGAAATCTTCAAAATAATAATTTGCGTAATTACTGGTGGTAGGACCTCTTGTGAGTCTACACGGGTGGGTACTACCACCCTGCCTATTTCTGCCGTGAAGTAGTAATGCGTTTCGGTTTGAAGGGTGAGGCAGCCATTATAACTATACTTGAGACCTTAGAACTTATATCTCAAGGTGGGTGGCGCATTTACGTTGTGGATGTCTATGGGCTCCAGTAACCACTTAACACAAGGTGGGCTGTGAGCTCGTCCACCCATCTAAGCAATAAAAAAATAAAATAGCTGAAATACTAGCTAGACCAGCTATTTGGAAGTCTAGCCACCCAAAGTATTTCTCGTACTTCTTGTGGAATTCTCCATCTATAGGTATACTCCGATTCTTATTCAAATCATGTACTTCACAATCTTTTCCAAATAATAGGTCCTGAACCAAAAAACTATTAATTTGTAAGCAATATCGAGATAATTTCGATATAGACATTTCGCTGTCGGACTTCCTTACTAGTCGCGGCGGCGAACGTGAGTACCCGTGGCCTGCAAACGGTGCTGCGCGAATGGTCGCCTCGTCCACCGCTTCGCTATTCGCACCGCCGATCTCCGTGGCCAGGCCGTAATGAATAATTTTTAAACAGAATAGTATAAAATATTTTTATTTTTTATACTCGTAATAAATATTTTAAAGTGTAATTTGTAACTCAAGCCTAAAATACATAAATCAGGCCTATTTAATTAGATAGCCTTACGCATGAACACATAACTACCACAATTCAACAAAATTAATCACATTAGTGAATTGTTCCATCACATCTCGTTTCGTTAAGTGAACTCGGTCCTCAAAATTATTCCACTGTTCAATTCGCATCAAGTGTTGATATCAACTGTTGTGATAGCGGTACGAAGCAAAATTTGTCTCTACTTTTTCGCGAAAAACAAAATCAAATGATTTATTTGCCAGAATTTTATTAATTTGATTGAAATTACGATTTCTACACATAACTAAGTTCAGATTTCGGGCAGAAAATGAATATAAAGGTCACAACATCATTTGATAAAAAAAAGTTCTTAAATATATTAATGTACAAACGAATGGGAGTTACTGAAATTCATTTCTTGGCAGCACCACTAGTATTTCATAACCTACAACCGGAGGAAGATCACGTTTTACGAACCCGGCTAGAATCTTCGAGAAATAAGGTTTGCAGCAGTTTGGACCTTAATTGAAATACTGCTAATATCAAAACAATTTTTAAAAATGTTGCGTCTACCTCGTGTTGTTCGTCAAACTGTTTCTCTCCATAAATCATATCAACTTTCAAGATTTTATGCTAAAGATGTGAGGTTTGGCGCTGATGTAAGAGCTCTCATGCTGCAGGGCGTTGACATCCTAGCTGATGCCGTAGCCGTTACAATGGGTCCAAAAGGTAGAAACGTTATTTTGGAACAATCTTGGGGGTCCCCGAAGATCACAAAAGACGGCGTAACAGTTGCCAAAGGTGTTGAACTCAAGGATAAGTTCCAGAACATCGGTGCTAAGTTAGTACAAAACGTAGCTAATAATACCAACGAGGAGGCGGGAGACGGAACTACCACTGCCACAGTACTGGCACGAGCAATCGCGAAGGAGGGCTTCGAAAAAATATCAAAGGGTGCTAACCCGATTGAGATAAGAAGAGGCGTGATGCTCGCCGTAGATGCCGTTAAAGAGAAACTTAAAGGAATGTCGAAACCCGTTACAACACCCGAAGAAATCGCACAAGTAGCTACCATATCTGCTAACGGGGACACGGCAATCGGCAAGCTCATTGCTGATGCAATGAAGAAGGTAGGTAGGGATGGAGTAATCACAGTGAAAGATGGAAAAACCCTCACTGACGAGCTTGAAATCATTGAGGGTATGAAATTTGATAGAGGTTACATTTCACCATACTTCATTAATTCTTCTAAAGGCGCCAAAGTCGAATTCCAGGATGCCCTGGTACTCTTCTCTGAGAAAAAAATTAGCAATGTTCAAACGATCATTCCAGCATTAGAAATGGCTAATCAACAGAGGAAGCCTCTGATCATAGTAGCTGAAGATGTAGACGGAGAGGCACTGTCCACTTTGGTTGTTAATAGATTGAAAATCGGTTTGCAAGTAGCTGCAGTGAAAGCCCCAGGCTTCGGAGATAACCGCAAGTCCACCCTCAGTGATATGGCTATTGCTACTGGTGGTGTTGTATTTGGTGACGATGCGAATCTCATCAAAATTGAAGATGTCCAACCATCAGACTTAGGTCAAGTAGGTGAAGTGATAATTACTAAAGATGACACTCTGCTATTGAAGGGCAAGGGTAAGAAATCAGACATTGACAGGCGTGCTGAACAGATTAGAGACCAAATTCAGGAGACAAACTCTGAATATGAAAAAGAAAAATTGCAAGAACGTCTGGCTAGACTAGCATCAGGTGTGGCAGTCTTACATGTTGGTGGTTCAAGTGAAGTCGAGGTTAATGAGAAAAAAGACAGAGTTAATGATGCCCTTAATGCTACTAGAGCTGCAGTTGAGGAAGGTATTGTACCTGGAGGTGGTTCTGCACTCTTGAGATGTATTCCAGTATTAGAACAACTCAAAACAGTCAACAGTGATCAGGCCACTGGTGTAGAGATTGTAATGAAAGCTCTGAGGATGCCATGCATGACAATAGCAAAAAATGCAGGCATTGATGGTTCTGTTGTTGTTGCCAAGGTGGAAGACCTTGGAGATGAATTTGGGTATGATGCCCTCAACAATGAATATGTAAACATGATTGAAAAGGGCATCATTGACCCCACAAAGGTGGTGCGGACAGCCCTGACCGATGCCAGTGGTGTTGCATCACTGCTTACTACTGCCGAAGCTGTGATCTGTGAAATTCCACAAGAAAAAGAGCCTAACCCCATGGGTGGTATGGGAGGTATGGGTGGAATGGGTGGTATGGGAGGCATGATGTGATCTTCATAAAGTGGACATCTTGAATGCATTTATGAATACAAACTGTTACAAATGTACATGGGTATTTACTATTCTTTAGTGGTCTGAATTGAATTGCAAATGCAGTGAATGAAAGTATTTTGTTTAGTGTATGTTTGAGCATAGGAGGCAGTCTGTCTTGTTAGAATTATTTAGTTATTATAGTTTGCCTGCAGTTAGAGCGAACAGTGTTATTTTTAAAATAAATATAATGTTTTTATAAGAGTCTTTTACTTAATACCATTCCTATGTTTTAAAAACAGATTTATAATGCTGTATAATTGTTACTAGATCAAAATGTGTGTACTGCATGTTAAAGACATGCTTAAGTCTGTTGTATTGTAGCCCATAGACACCTATGACATAAGTTCTAAGTCACAGTTTAACAGTACAACGGCTGCTCTACCCTTCAAACTGAAACGCATTACTGCTTCACGGTAGAAATAGGTAGGGTGGTGGTACCTATCAGTGTGGACTCAAGACGTTTTACCATCAGTAATTACGCAAATTATAATTTCGCGAATTTGATTTTTACTGCACCTTCACCGTGAAAGTCAATCGTGAACAATTGTTAAGTACGTATTTCATTAGTAAAATTGCTACCTGCCTGCGGGATTCGAACATCGGTGCATCGATTCATACGATTGCACTGGGCGTCTTATCGTTTAGGCCACGACGACGTCAAAATCAATTGCACACGAGCTTTTTGCTTCACAAGCTCACGCTGCACGCAGACCTGCTTCGCATCAGGATTAAGGAATGTAAATGCAAGAACGGACCTACAGTATTTATTATATATAACAATATATATTTATATAAATTATACATAGGTACCTTATGTATAACAAAACTCATCCTAAAAGGTTAGGTTTCTTGTAATTTAGAAACCTTCAATCTAAAAGTTTAACTCAGATAAAGATCGTAAGTAAGTATCATAATATTAACGGTATGAGAATACAGATTTCATTTAAAATCTCATAGTATTAAGAAGCAGTAAAATTCTAGAGAACTAAATTCTTTTAACCCACGTGCATCAACTAAGATAAGAATTTGGTGTCTTATCTTTAGCTCTGAGTTCATTGCTCGGTTGTCAAGTACGAACGGCATAATGATTAAAGTAATTTACGCAAATTACCATATCGAGTTAGTGGGCTATGGTGAAACTTTTCAACTGTAGGTACATATTGCTTGTTGCAATTGGGTATTGTGGGTAGGACAAGGTGCCTGTAATTCCATTTTATTTAAACTAGTAGGTAATTAAAGCAGCAGAATTTACGTACTGTTAAGTAGGACATGATAAATTGGATTAAATTTTAATGACATAAACAGAAATTCTGATAGCATTCCTTACCATTTATAGGAGAACTACTTCATCTCGTGTGTTGAACAAGAGTGTAATAAAAACGAGCATTCGAACCCCTGTAATATTTTTATTGTTCATGTTTTTAGCGTTTTTTTAAATAAAATGCACTATCAATGTATTAATGAAAATACTTCGAAAAATATTAGTGTTTTTAGAAATGAATTTCGGATCGCTTTGCTGATCGATCTTTGATATGACTTGAATCACATCGCTTACCAAAACATACCAAAACTTCACAGGATGATCTATTATGACAATCTGAATATTGATTTATTATCTACTGAATATATAAATTATAAGTTTCATCGACATTGGTCCATCAGTATTAAAGTTTATAGAGAATATACATATTTTTTATTTATTGCATAGATGGGTGGACGAGCTCACAGCCCACCTGGTGTGAAGTGGTTACCGGAGCTCATAGACATCTACAACGTAAATGCCAAACCTTGAGATATGAGTTCTAATGTCTCAGTATAGTACAACGGCTGTCCCACCCTTCGAACCGAAACGCATTACTGTTTCACAGTAGAAATAGGCAGGGTGGTGGTACCTACCCGTGCGGACTCACAAGAGGTGGTATCACCAGTAATGCATATTGTGTCTACCTATCCCAGTAACGTCGAAGGGTTATGCCAGGTTATTACACGACGACAATGTCAAGCAGGCGTGCTCGTGGGCAAGGAGAAACAGCGGTTCTGCTATTAAATAGATCTTACGTCCCAACTACATAATAATATGACTTTTTTCGCACTTAGTACCCATAATAATTAACTCCCGGATTTATAAAAAAAACTTTAAAAAGAATTTGTTGCAGTCTAATTAGATTTCACAACCGTCAAAATAGTCTGGAATTTGTTTACCAATTTTTTTTTGTCTAGGCACACGAGTATACGGCCCCTATGATAGTGAGTATTCGATCATGGATAGCCAACCCGTTGCCTGCCAGTGTTAAAACACACTGGAAGGAAGTTCATTTCAGGCCAGGTATCCTCCGGTGGCAGATGGTAGAAACGAGATAAAGATATCATATAAAACATTTCCTCAGAACACTCCTCGTGGAACATACTGCAATTTTTCGTTTTTTTTATTTTTTATTTCCCTATTGGCAGACGAGCATACGGCCCATCTGATGGTGACTGGTTACCGTCGCTCATGGACGTCAGCAATGCCAGGGGCAGAGCCAAGCCGCTGCCTACCGTAGGCGTTGTTGTAGTCCTAGGGTATCCCGCTGGTACATAAGAGCCTTCACAAGTTGTCTCCACTTCACCCTACCTTGGGATTGCTCTTTAACATCACATACTGACATTTATTATATACACAAATACTAGAATATTGATTATTTTACTAAATTAAAAGAAAAGTGCCTAAATATTTTATTTATTTATTTTAGAGGAATGTCATATGATATGCGGTACCAAATACCCGCAAGTCTTCTGTTTCGCGATTAAAAAACATGTTAACATCGATAAAATAGGTACCGTTTGTGTATATCATCAAATTGCCGAAAATATCTTCCTACAATTCGTCGTCAGCTCACGAACTATCTGACGGTGAATCAATTCAAGTCACATTTCAGGATAATAATTTTTTTCTGGACCCACAGATCCGTCTCTAGGCAGTTTTACTTTGGCCCTGGTACCAAGATTATATTCTCTGCAAATATTTATATAAACCTATGTATCTACATAACGTAAGTATATGTGATAATAAACATTTTAGCAAAAATAACAACTTTATAAAAATATCTGATCTTCGTCAGAGTCGCCAATGCCGTAGACGAAGTGCCTTCTCGTAACGTCGCCGTCTGATCTTGAAGCTGCCCCAGCTTCGGGGGCGACATTCTTACACGGAGTCACGGGGTATCTCACGGGACCGACCCACTTTCGACTCAGCCCGAAATTTCGCGGTAAAGCAACATTTTTAACTGAGTTACTGTCATCGTCACTAGGGCCGCTCGGTCCTGATTGCAAGCAAACCAGAGATGACTTTTTGATCTTATTATTTTCATCTAAATAGCGATCAAAATTGATTTCTTTCGGTATACTCAAGCTCAAAGGTCTTCTTCTTGGTCTGCTGTCCGAAACACAGCTGCGCCACGTATCGAACTTATTTTTCTTTTGTGGTGTGTCTTCTTGGGACGAACAAGTTCCTAGGTCATTTTCTTCATACACTTTATTCTCGGAGGAACTTTTATATAAGCTTCTTTCATTGGGTGAATTTTGTCTGGTTGGCTTTTCTTTAATTCTATTTATTACTTTTTCTTTTGTGAATTTTATTAGCGCGTAAATAGTTTTCAGTGCTTCTTCATTAAGCAATTCATCATCAGTTATTTCTGTGTCTAAGGCACTGCCGATACTGCCACTTATTTTACAAATATCTGTTTCACTAGTATCAGCTTCAATCGTACTTATGTGGCTATATTTCTGAGAGTTTTGCAGGACTATAAGTTCGACTGTTTGCGGGGCGGATTGCAGCATTTCAAGAGCTTTGTCGTATTTTATATTCAACAGTGTCTTACCATTCACAGATATGATTTGGTCCCCGGGTAATAATTTTTTGCAAGCATCTGCTGGACTTCCTGATGTGATCGACTTAATATACACGTTACCATCAGACCCTTCTGCTACCTGCAGCCCTAAAGCATTCATTTGGTCTCTTTGCAAAACAGCGGTAACAAACAGTCTTTCGCCCTGTACACACTCCATATTATCTAGCCTTTCAAACAGTGATGTAGTAAGACAAGAATCGTTTGAAGCTATATAGCAATGGTTTTCTGGGTATATTTTGGGAGACTCCAATACATATGCTGTAGGTATATTTGATAAACTGGTATTGTAATGTCTTTCTGGTAACAATCTCATACTGTTTATAGTACACTGTTTTCTGTCTAGACTAAAATCATCAGAGTCACTTTGGGTAGTTACAATTTCATCAGACCTATGATGGTTAGTGTAGTTGTTGGGCGGTGATGTTTGTCCGTACTTATTAAACGGTTTCATTCCATTAAAAACTCTTGTTCCCATTTTGACACCGTGTCTTTTTGGTAAGCTACAGCTTTCTGAAGAAGAAAGGCATTCATTTGAAGAGTTTTCACGGTGAAGGTCCATGGTGGATGTGTTTAGCAAATTTTCTTCACTGTGCAGTGGAGAAAGCACTTGCCTTAATAGTTCTTCTGTGTTAGGCTTCTCATTTTCTTTGTTTTTGTCACCAAAAATATCCATTTTAAATCTTCGTCGCATAGGCCGTTTTGACCTAATAGGATTTCTTACTGCTAGATTATAGCTGTCTTGATAGTTGCTACATTCCACTTTCTTAGGACTTCCCTCTTGGTTTATTGCACAATTAAGTTCATCAGCCAAATAGTTTATAAAGTCTTCCTTAGCATAAAGCTTCAAATACAATCTGTGGTGCAATGAAGCTAACCAAAATGAAAAATAACTCTTGTTATCTGTCATTTTAAGCTTGTACTTTATCCCAATTTTGGATAGACCAGAATATGAGTTCGGAATTATATAAAGGCTCTTTTTGTTGTAATAAAATGTGCGTATATGATGCCAAGGCAGGCATTGGAGCACAATGCGGTTAGTTGAGCATGATTCGATAGACATCTGATTGTATCGAGAATAGATGGTAATTCCTCGTGGACCAATGGATAGCCACACATCCCTACAGAAGCCATCGCGAGTAGACCACACTGCAGAGTAGAAATGAGCTCCATAATCGCGAAACGTTTGAGCTAGCGTAATGAAGTTGATAATAGCTTTATTCCTATCTAATCCATGTCGAGATTCATGAGCTCTTTTCATGCGCAATTTAATATCAGCCATATTATTTGTAATAACTGTTTCAGGTAAATAATGTTCTAGTAAAAAATAATCTGCACTTCCATGTTCTCTGTAGGAAAACTCACCAAATTCAACGTGCAAGGCATAACCAGTTAACAGTACAAGATTCTGTATAGTTGAAGTTAATTGACCTTCAACAGTAGCTCTTCTCAGTTGTAAATACACTCTGTACTGCCACTCCCCATCTTGAATATTATTTGATATGTTCTTTGGGAGGAAGAATTTTATCCTCAAGAACACAGTCATAGAGTCATCTTCTACTAATATTTTGTTCTTCTTACAATTTGCTTTGTGCCAGCCATCTGGAGCTAGCTTTTTTAATTTATAGTCATCTGGTAAGAAAACAAAATCTCCACCAATCAAAGCAGCTATACCTAACATGAAATTGTGTTCATATTTCTCACTGTGTATTAAAGCTTCAAAGAGTTGGCCGGCGGTTATGATGTTTGAGTCACAAGTCACTTCAAATTGTTGGCCATTAAGCAACACCACGTTTATAATTTTTCGATCAGAATTAGCCGAAAGCGTCAGATCTAACTTCCTGGGAGATTGTGAAGCTCTCACAATAAACTCTGGACCGGTGCATCCTTCTTTGCCTTTGACATCACTGTCAGCTTTATAAAGTCGAGAAGCTGCCCTTTGAACAGGTTTCCCTCGTCTGAAATTCATAGTTTTACATGTATTTTTATGAACAAAGTCATTTTTCAGAATAGCGTTCATTGATAGAGTGTTATTATGTAATCTGGGCTCTGCTGTTTCTATTTGAGTACTGCTTGCTATATCTAAAGTAGAGTGTGCAGTACTAAGTCCTCCTCGTCTTGAAGCATTAAATAGATTAAGAACAGGTTGTCTGTGATTTCTGGGCAGCCTGTAGCTCGGAAAAGGGTCTTTTTCATCTGGAGACTTCAATAGGCTTACAAAACTTCTTGGACGGTTGCTGACTTTTAGATCAGTATTACTACTGAAGTCTTTTGAATGTCTTTTCATATGCTTCAATTTTGATAAATCAATTGGAGATGAGTCAAAATTCATCTTGTCAATAATTGGACTCAAGCCACCTGAAGCTGAGCAGGAACTTCGCCCAGAATCTTCTTCACAATTATGTAACATGTTTCTGGAATGAAAAAGAAATAAGTTTATAATAAGAAGAGATTGATTTATGAACTGGGTCAATCAAAAGTTTATTTAAAGTAGTTTTTGAACTATTTGTCTTTTTAGAACCATAGTTTCACAGTTGGGAGACTGATTGGGGACAAAATATCAGGGTTGCTTTTAATTTAGAGATGCAAAATTTTATTTCTATAGACACCATTTCTTACATCACATTTTTATATGATTTTATTTATTTATTAGTGAAGTTAAATAAGTTTACAAATTTCCTGCAAGAATGCTCACAGCCACCTCACAGTAATATATTTATAATGCTCATATAGGGGCTATTAATATGCGACATTTATCTATGTAATGAAAGGTTCGTTTTATTTGATATTAGCATCAACAATTCAATATTTTGATTTGGACTTTCATCATCATCATCATCAGCACACAGCCGTCCACTGCTGGACATAGGCCTCTCCCAATCTAGACCACTGAGCTCGGTCTGCGGCTCTCCTCATCCACTTCTTGCCGGCTAATTTGGACTTTGCACTATACAAATACCTGAAGAAGTTTTGTTGTCATGATACTATTTGCAAATTTTTAACTTTAAATGGCTCTTCTGTAAAGTTGCATAATGTCACTTTAAGCAAATAGTCTTTCGTCCCTCAATATCATCTATTCAAGTCTTAAAGCAGAGTAATTGGACAAATGTCCATCTGCTGATTAAGCTTTATAATCTTACTAGACGTATTCGCCTGCTTAGCTGGGCATTTAAAATTAACATTATTATTTATTGTCATTATTATTAGGGAGTCCAACACCCATATAAATATTAGCCTATCCATTAATCAAGTCAATCGGATGCATGGTTCAGTAGTTATAACGGAACATCCGTAAAAACCACTGTAGATTTATATATTAGTATATATTATATTAATATAACCCTATATGTTTCTTGAAACCGATCGATATATCTTTTTTTCCATAAACCTTACCACACCTAGCCCCTTTTAATTGCATCATTGATTGGAAACAGATTTAATACATCAAAATATATCCTATTGTCCTGTACAACACTGGACTAATCCTCAGAAACCTCAAAAGTTAACTAAGTATAAATCCAGTCATATTGACATCTGTTTTCACAGTTAGCTTTCCAGTAATCATTATATAGCTGGTATTTAGCTTATTGGTTGCCCTTGAAAAAATAGATAGTTACATGAAAACTACGCAACGAAATTAACTCGACTTTCGCGTCAAACATCTTTCGGGATTTTCGATAACATATAGGTATCAGCAGGTACATTCATTCGATCACTATTAGAAGATTTAAGATCATCATAAACCTCATAGTCTACAAACGATTCTCAATAAAACGGTTCGCCTTAAAAACAAAGAGAAAGCAAATTTTATAAGGGAAATTATGTACGAGAAAATATAGTGACTGCATCCTAGATTGCACATACTTCTAATGGTCACCTCGATCTTTAAAATGGATTTTTGATCTGCATTCGTAATGAATTAAAGTAGTCAATGCGCATACTGAGAAAATTATAGTAAGTAGGTAGGTACGTTACCTTTAAAAATCCCTTGTTTACAAAAAATTGTGAGTCAATATTTGAACTTCTTAATTCAAGTCTACATCACATTTCTAACAATTGTTATTGCTATGCCAATAGCAATTTGAGCACTTAAGTCCAATTTTAAGTTTTGTAAATGCAAATTAAGTACATTCGTAGTTTCGTATCGCTATTTTTAAACAGCTTCCTTCATTTTAAGCAAAATACAATCTTTCAACATCAATTATTGTTTTATCAAACTCAATGAATAGACAAAGGAGATAACGCCCATCTACAGCCAAAACATTGACTACGAAAGGTCGAAGACTATTTAATATTTATGAAAAGCTTTATTGGGAAGTAATAATTTTTATTGGTTGTGATGATTTGAAAGTTTTCTCAATTATTACTACAAATTCAGTCCATTAAACTCTGAATAAATTCGCAGTATTTTACTGAGAGGCTATTCCATCCATCCATTCCATAAATCATTCCATATCTAACTAACACCTATGGTGTTGTTTGTCTCATTTCTTCACATTTAAATGTGTAATAACGGAGGTTTATTAGCTGTTTATCACCTTTGAAAGTGCACAAATGTGGGAAAATGGAACAAAGCCGCTGGACGAAGCTTCTCGGGATCTTCCAAAAAGTTCACTGAAAAAGTCTCAGTAGATATCCACCATTTAATTGAGATTCTATTTCATCCCATATCATCTCATCTCATTTCATTTCATCTCGATTGAGTAATATCTCAAAACAATCAACTTCATTTCATTTCGCTCCCTACTATCATTTTTCATGAAAGAGATTACTAAACATACATACAAAAAATAAGGCTGTATAGTGTGATACCTTCGCCTTTCCACTTCGAAAAATGTAACTACTACTTGATTGACACTTGACAATTAACGCTTGTCTAATAATAATAGCAAATTAAACTTAATGTTATTCCTTTTGTCCTGTATCGTTGTTTTTATTCTGTTATAATTTCACCTTTGCTATTTTAACGGGGCTGTATTCATACATTTATTTATTTATTATCAGAAATTACTATATCAATTTACAAAACCATCAGATCTATCAAGGCTCATCAAAATCGATACCTAAACTATTATTGATTTTTACTTGTTAATGTAATGTACTGGTTTTTAGGTACCAGGTAAATTAATTAAGACGATGGCCACATTAGTGCAATCTTATGAGCAGCAATATTCGGTGCTTACTGCCGACATCACTGCAAAAATAGGACGATTAAAAAATGGCACTGCAGGTAGGGAAGAAAACTAGCTGCAACAAGTTCTCATTTCGCAGTTTATCATCATGATTTAAAAATCTTTAAATTCGATATCATGATAATAGTAAAATGAAACAAAATATGAGCAAGATAATGCAATAATAGATACAAAGGTCACAGCTATGTATTCCTTTGATTTAACCATGAAACTACACCTATGATTCTCTTCATTCTTGATTTATTTCCTCAAAGTTAATTAGTGTAGTAAATTTAGTTCTCAAAGTCACAATATTTACATTTGAAAATCCCATCTAAAGCTTGTAGTCCTAATTAAGATAAGTGATCGCATGTTGCAGGCTTTTCAATTGTCATTAGGTTGATAGAGTGTGCGCATAGACAACATTTTAATTTAAACAAATTTGATACACAGAAAACCGAGAACAATTATCAAGAGAAATACAGTCAAACTTTGAAGAGGCAAATGATTTGGTAAGTTCAATATAAAGAATGTTAAGTGCACAGTTCTTGATTGCACAATATGGTTTACTTAAGCTCACATTCCAGTGGGAGTTGAATGGTATGCAAAAGACAATGTAAAGTGAACCCCACCAGTACTTACACTTCCATAATTCCCCTACAAATCACAGTTAACAATTTCTTCATGGCAGAAATATTTGTAGTTGGAACAGTTGGAGTTGGAAGCACGAGGTCCCCGTGTAGCTGCTTACCGTGCTGAACTGCAGCGAGTCAAACAACAGTTCAAAACTACACTCGGAACCAATGGACATTGTAAGTTGTGTAATGATTATTTAAATTTCTTGTTGAAAAACTCAATACAATTGATTATGTAATTTGATTATTTTATTTGGCTATACTACAGATGTTTATTTATAATAACTTGACTGTATCAATTGGTGAATTAATAATTTTAAAGACATAAGTAATTAAGTAATTACTTAATTAAAGTATTGAATAATTACCAAGAAACTGGAGTTATCAATAAATAAATTGTCTCGTTTTGGAATCAATAAATCTTTATTAGCTATGTCACAATTGTGATAACCCTTTTCAGTATTTATAATAACTCTTTCGGCTTATAGGATAAGTATTATAAAGTATTGAATAATTATAAAAAAATGGAGTTATCAATAAATAAGTTGTCTCGTTTTGGAATTTATATAGACTAATTTGCCACATCACAATATGATAACCGTTTTCAGTTTTATTTTTTATTTTTTTACTGCTTAGATGGGTGGATAAGCTCACAGCCCACCTGGTGTTAAGTATTTATAATAACCCTTTCGGATTATAGAATAAGGATTATAATAACCATTTTTAAGCTAATACAATCGTTATATCTACTGTACAGTAGTGGGTGAGGTGTCTGAGAGTGAGGACTGGGGTGCGGGCGACGAGCGTCGACAGTTGCTCGACAACTCAGAGCGCCTTGAACGCGGAGGCCGAGTTCTGTCTGAAGGATATAGAGTCCTACTCGAGACTGAACAGGTACATTTTATACAATCATCACTCTCCTGCCCTTCTCCCAGACACCTGGGGTTAGCGCAATATGTTTTCTCCTTCCATACTCGTCTATTATATACCATTTCTTTGCTCACTCCCTTCTTACACATAACGTCTTTCACACAATCCATCCATTTCTTCTTAGCTCTACCTCTTCCTCTAAAGCCTTCCATATTCATAGTTAAAACTCACTTAACAACCTCTTTGTACAATAATTAACATTTTTTCAAAAGCATAGTACATTCAGTACATACAATGCTTTCACATACAGCACTGAGTTGTTCGCATAAAAAATTTTTGCAGGTGGGAGCAGCTGTGCTGCAGGATCTTAGTGTACAGCGGGAGACTATACAGCGGTCGCGCGCTCGGGTGAGCTTAGAAATATCCTTATCTTTTTTAAATTTATTTTTAATTGCTTACATGGGTGGACGAGCTCACAGCCCACCTAGTGTTACGTGGTTACTGGAGCCCATGGACATCTACGCATTACTGCTTCACGGCAGAAATAGGCAAGATGGTGGTACCTACCCGTCCGGACTCACAAGAGGTCCTACCACCAGTAATTACGCAAATTATAATTTTGCGGGTTTGATTTTTATTACACAATGTTATTTCTTCACCGTGAAAGTCAATCGTGAACATAATTTGTTAGTACGTATTTCATTACAAGAATTGGTACCCGCCTGCGGGATTCGAACACCGGTGCATCGCTAGGTACGAATGCACCGGACGTCTTTTCCTTTAGGCCACGACGACTTCATAAAATTATTATTATTAGTCTGGTTCTTTTCAAAATGATAACAATGGAATTTTTTACTGGTCTTAGTGTTTCTACTCGTCTTCTGCGTCCAAACGGGTAATTACCATCACCTTGTCTATCTCTGCCGTGATGCAGTTATATGTTCCGACTTAAAGAGAGGGGAAGCTGTTGTACTTTAGGACTTAAAACTAATGTCTCAAGATGAGTGGCGATATTTACGTTGTAGATATCTATGGACTCCAGTAATCATTTAACACCAGGTGGGTCGAGAGGTCGTCCACCCATCTAATAAAAAATATGTGTAAATGCTTTATAAAGAGAGAAAGAGAGAGAGAGAGAGAACTTATCATACTCAGTTCAGTGTTATATTTATAAATATACATACAAAATATTAAAAATGTAACGTAATAATAATTTGATTTTGTAGCTATTTAAATGAGCTATATAAATATTTGAGCATTATTATTGTAGCTGCGCGAGACAGACGAGGAGCTGGGTCGGTCGTGGCGGGTGGCGGCGGGCATGTCGGCGCGCGCGCTGCGGCACCGCGCGCTGCTGCTGGCGGCGCTGGGCGCGCTGGCGCTGCTCACGGGGCTGGCGCTCTACCTGGCGCTGTCCTGATGCTGGCCGGCGTGCGGCGCCCGCAAGCGCTGCGCCGCCCTGCCGCTCGAGCGAATACTCAACGTACCTGTCCTGAAACTAGGATTGACCTTCGAGAAGATGTTACATAATATGAAACCGTAAAACTATCCTAAGCATATTTTCTTTGGGCGCATTTTTTTGTTTTTTTGAAGTGAAACTTCTTTAGAATCGTTGTGTTTTCAAACTCGATAAAACGAAATGAAACGAAACGAAAAAATAAGTTCGAGCGCCGCCGACAAATCACAAAGCACTCCACACGGTCTCGCGTCCCCGACTAGTTCAGTGTGTTTTTGACGTCCATACACGCTATCGTGGCTCTCGGAGCGCCCTGAGATACTTTTATTTCTATTTAGTTTGTTATCAACAGATGTCGCTGCACGTAAATTCCACAATTCCTGAATCGCGGTGACACAGTTGATAGACGTTCTCGTATTTCTCTTGCTAAGTCATACTTACCTGGCGTAGGGTTACCGTGATTATGCTAGCGGTTCGCCCAGGGTGAGGCTGATCCATTGCACCGCGGAGTGATTGATCTTTGCGATTATTTTCTTTTTATAAGTTTCACTTCTACCGTGTGCGACTTGCATACACACTTTTTTTTTCCTAGCTAAGCTAATAGCCTTGAGATTCTATTTCAGCGTAACCTTAACTAGTAGGTGAGCTCACTGGGTTCAAACCTGACAACGTTGCTAACACGAACAGTAGCAAGAGCCGTGCTTCGCAGAATCTACCACCGGATCAGAAACGCGACCCACTGAGAAGATCCGGCGAGAAACTCAGTGGGCTGTGTCTGAGGGTTATTTGGGCGCAACGTTAGTATGTAATGTTTAAATAAAAATCGACTTCGATCACAAATGACACGAACGATATATCTACACGTAATCAAATTAGTTCTTAGTAGTGAAATATATAGTTCTGTCTCGCGTCTCATACTGACCAGTGTGCTTAGTGAGATTTTTTTAACGTTCTCGATAGCGTAAAAGTTAACCAAATTTGTATTGTAACTCGGCTCTCAGATTGAGAAAACTTTTATAAGTTTCAGCAAGGTACTGATAAATCTGAATTATTCTGATCTATTAATTCATATTAGTTTCATCACGTTACAGTCGGGCCCAAAAATGTATGTAATCGTTTCAGTCTCCTTTGAGTTACTTTTACGCTATCCAGAACGTTAAAAAACTCGCACTAAGCACATGGCCTACAGGCCGGATAAAAAAAAATAGTTTTAAGGTAATCGCTTATGGCAACCCTGAAGCTAATAAATTATTATAATCTGCTAAATCACCTTCCAAGGGAGTAAAATTGACTTGCATTATATAACTTGCAAATAAATAAAATTTATTCACCGTTGCTATTCTGTAAGTCTATAATTGATTTTTTATTTATTTATATAGACGTAATTTAAAGGTTAATAATGTATCTATGAATATATTGAAAACATTATTTTAAAAAAAAAACTCGTGTAAATATTAACTTCTTAAATATGTTAACATAGTTTTAAAATAATTACAATTATTGGACAAAATGTTACACAAAAAATAAACGTTCACGTGTATTACTAATTTAAATAAAACATAGTTAATCCCAATAAATTATAAGTTTTTCAATTTGAAAACTTGCTAAATTTATCTGAATAATCACTAAAATGATCTCTTAAAATAGTGCTGCCGATTATAAATTTTGCTAGTGACGAAATGTCTAAATCTATAATTTTTTTTATTTAGTACGTAGACTCCGTGTATAATATTTACGGCACAATCGGTAAGGTAAACTGGTGATACCACAAAAAAAAAAAATGTGTGCGTGTACTAGTGTACACGCGTAAGAAGTGAAACTTGTTTATGGCCTTATTTTTCGAAAAATGATCTACATGCAACTTTCTAGAAATTGGTTAAATAAAGTTAAATTAGATAAAGTTTAAACAAAAGGATTTTATTATCATAGACATGAATACAAATAATACAATTATTTCACTTTACCTTTTTGCTACTAAGATTATTACAGCATTTCATTAATTGTAATAGAATTATTACTATCATTGTCATTGTCATTATATATTTTTGTAATTAATGGCTTATGGTAACTGAAATATGAAATATATGGTTTACATTCCACGAAATTTAGTGACCGAGTAAAAACTCCATCAATTGTAGTGCCAGATCTTGTTGTTGACGTTTGAGGACTGTTTTTCATGGATAAATTCAATTTATCTTTCAGAAATTCAACTAGCTTCAAAGAATTTTCCGATGCAAAATTTACATTAAAATCTCCACTTAAAATCATCGGTATTTTATAATTATTGTTACCGAGTAAAGAGGCACCTTCACTTGTGTACGGCAACAATGAATGGTGAAGAAAAAGATGGCGCGTAACGGAAAAATGTGACGCGTAACCGAAAAATGTGACGGTAAATTTTTTTCCAACGCCGATAAAGAAGTTTCACTTCAAAAAACTTGGACAAATTCTATGTTAGAAAAAAAAACTAACAATTTGGTATCTTTAAAGCTGATGAAACAAACATAAAGTCCACATCTACCTTTTTATATATATAGTTGGTACACATAGGTTGCCTTTGTTTGTAGTACTTTAGTACTAAATATCGTTGTGTTTTACCTCGATAATGTAAAATATTACAGAATAAGATTTGCTCGTTTTGTTTGTAAACTGTCTCCTACTTTAACAACATTTGCGATATTTATAATGTCACTGAGTGTTATTATTATATCATAGCTGAGTGTTAATATAAGTAATTAGCTGAATAAATGTGATATATAATGTTTTAGTGTTTATTTGTCTGTCTGTATAACTGTCGCGCGTCGCGTGACGTAATAGCAACCGACCAATGAGACGGCGGCCGCTACATTGCGGGCTCATTAAACTGACCAATCCTCGATATATCAGCTCATTTTAGGTTCGTAATTTATCTTTTACGGCTTCAAGGATGATCTCTTCCACACCACAAATGGCCTTCACTGCCTCTTGGTTCTAATTCTTATGATGATCGAGTTCACTGTATCTTTTATTATTTTTTCCCTACCTATGCCGCTAACCTCGAGGGATTAACCCAGCTTCGCTGAGCGAGTAGTTGTGTTAACGTTGCTAACACTGGCCCTAGCAAGAGCACCGCAGAATCTACCACCGGATCGGAAACACGACCCAAAGAAGATCCGGCGAGGAACTCAGTGGGCTGTGTCTGGGGGTTAATTTACTCGTCGAGCTTCGACGATAACGATGACCGGTGCTTGAGGTACCTAACATAGATAATACACATAAATCAGATAAGGATAAGCAACTCAAGCACTCAAAAAAATGTTTAAGGCCGTTGGCCACTTGATGGCCTTGCCTCGATTAGTTTCTTATTGCTCCTGTAGATGGCAGTAACATATTAACTATATTTTTAATTAAGGATTTTGTAAATTTTCAGACACCACAAATTGATAAAATTTAATCAATTTGACTATTACAAATAGAGACTTGTATATTTTTTTTATTTTGTGTTTAGTAATACAACAATTAAATGCTATATCTTTAACAACATATAAGTTTAGGGGCAACCGCTACGAAAAGTATTTCAGTTTCAGAGCTTTGGTACCTAACAGCAATGACCCGTAATGAGCAACCGAAAAGACGTGTAACGTTGATCGTTTTGTTTGGCCAATCCGTCTCCGTTCTGTTTCGTTCTTACGAGGGTCTTAGATCAATTTATTAATATATCTCTTTTTATACCGTATAAACTGTTATATGTATGTATGCATGTATGTTTTTATGTATGTATGTATGTTTATGTGATTGAGTATATATGTATATATATATATACTTTTTTGTGTGTGTATTTATAACTTAATATAAATTTCATTGCACCTACCACTATTTAATTTACTCTGCGCTACCTTTGGTTGACTGGTAGAGAGTGCCTTAGGCATTAAGTCCGCCAATGTAAATTTTACATGAGGTGTAATAAATAAATAAATAAATGAGCAAGGGGGGTTCTAATGCGTTATACACACTAAATCGCATCGCAACTAAGAACGAGACTCCGGTTTCTTTCAACCGGTATATTATCGAAATGACGTGTTTGAAAAAAAAAACGACGACCCTGGATGAAAATAACATTCTTTATTTTTCAGAAACAAAAAAAATAATATTATAATAAAAATCTATTTAAACAATATCATCAATTTACAGTCCATTCTTACAGCCATTAACAATATATTAATTTATTCTAAAAAATAAGACAGTTGTAATGGTATCACTAAAAAAAAAAAAAGATTTATGATAATTTTCATTCCGAACATTATACAAATTGGACATCGTTTTAGGCAATTTAGTCTCCTTCGCTGTTTCAACGAAATATAATTATGAAGCTGTTAAAAGTAAGTCAATTTTATGTAACAAAAAAGTGCCCCTTTTATTGATATAACGCAGTGTACATAAAGATTATTAAAAAAAAAACATAAAAAGTAGATTTTAGATTGTTTTATTGTATCCGATTTTTTTTGAAACGTAGTGTAATGGTCATTCCCGTTTAAAGAGTAGCAATTCGTATGTTTTAAAAAAAAAGGTAGCTATGGATTTGAACCTCTCCAAATCGGCACGCCTCGATACAAAAATAGCGGGTGTTCTATTCGCTAGGCCACAAAGACTATCATTTTGACTTGTATCAAACTGTATAAATATAATGTTATCTTTCAATTCAAACACTAATATGGGAGCACGAAGTCAGACTACTGATGATCTGAAGTGGCTGACAGAATCCTTCAATGGTTACGTGGTTCGTTTAGTTTTTAAAACCGATATCTATGTTCTGATACACCTTGTTGTTTCTTAATATAATAGCGAGCGACCGGCGCGCACCGTTAAGGTTGCAAACTTTCAGCTATCTCACCTTTAACTTAAAAAATAAAACAATAGTAGTAATCTATGAAATTGCAATTAACCTTTATTATTCAATAGTCAAATACCCTGACCGGAAGCCGAAACTTCTACGCAGGACATGTGGCACTAGACGAATGGATGTTAATGGCCCGCTCAGTAAATGACTCCCGTGCCCCCTCCCCTCACGGCCGACCCCCCGCGGGATAGAACCCGGGCTGGGTAGGAGGGCCCGAGGTCAACACTACAGCTAGACGGGCAGCTCGATGAGGGACGCCGTCAATGTACAGCAGGCAACCCTGGCGGCACCCGGGATACACCCCACGAGACGACCAGCATGCCGGGTGGCTATTATAGTCAAATACCCCGACACATGTTCGATCTATATACCACGAAAATGCGGTAACTCATTTTTTAAGGCATAAAACTACACTAACAGTGTGATATAATTTAATCTTACAGATTAAATAAGAGTCAGCGCACACACATCATTTTTTTATTGTCCTTGTACTTCAGCCGCGAGTCTGCCGGATATTGTTTCTGAATAAGCGATCAGCGCATATGTCCTCAATTTTAACATTACTGTATTATTTGTTTGTATAAATATAGATTCATCGGGATCTGTTCACAAGTCCCAGGGGCTGGTCTCCGCACAGGTCCGCGTGGGGGCGCGCGCTCCGGTCAGGGCTCCGCCGGGGCCCGCCCGCCCTGTGCAGACGCCACGAGCTCTTTGTACTTGTTCAA